AGAAAACTTCTCTTCCGTGCTCATCTGTCTTCACCTGAAGACAGATGATGTTCTGCTCCCTGTGACCCTCACCCTTATCCCATCAAACCACTATTTCCGTCGTATCATCCCTGCTTCTCTAATGGAACTCGGTAACCATTTTCTAACAATAACGCGAATGGCTCTGCTAACTCTGGCTTCAGCCGGCGCTGTGGCGGCATTGGCCGCCGGCAGTGGCAGCGGCTGCTCGGTTCTTCCACGCCGATCAATACGGTGTCCCGTAGCGTACGCTGCTGGTTCCATCGCTGCCCAGCCGGGCCCCCCGCAGGGCTGAGACGGGGTGCCGGGGTGGGTGGGTGCCCAAGGGGTGGGGAGGGTGGTGGGCACCGCGTGGGCGGGACAGTGGTCAGGTCGGGATGGGAGATTTATTGGGCGTGGTGAGCGGGGACGGAGTGGCTGCCGCTGATGCTGCTATTTTGTCGTTAGGATTGATGTTTTTTTTTTGCCTTTGTTTCTGGTTGACTGTGGTTTTTTAGGTAGGTTTCACACAGTTCTTAAAATGGTCAGAGGGTATCGTCAAATGAATCGGAACTTATACGTGTCATGCAGTTGACTGCTTGCTATGTTCTGTAAACGGTACACCGGAATACCGCTTTAACGATGGCCAGAACGAGCTTTTGACGAGCTGTTTGTTTTTGCAATGCCACTGAAATGTTGTTTCAAACGGACTCGTCAAAACAAAGCAACGTCGTGATTTGTTGACCTCAGCGATCGCACAAACAAGATCAATTGATCCGGTAGGTCAGAAATGCAGGTGGTCTCAGTTCATTATCAACCTACAGCTACCTGCGCCTGGACGCTTGCTTCCACTCACATTTGGATAAGTGTGTTTTTATTTCTAGCCGGTGAATTGTTTTTCGATTTTATGTTCCTAAGTTGTTTGCCCGAGCCGTCCGAATTTCCATTAGGCAACATTAAACATTTTCACTTAATTTCTTTATGGCAAAACAAATGCCAATGCTTTGTTGTAGCACAAATTTGTACCCAATTGTTCCCGAAACATGTAGTTGATACTTTATCCCTTCGGATGTCGATCGAACTCCATTCCATTTACCCTTCAGACATGCTCCTGTTTGGCTGCGGTCCAGACGAGGCAGCACTGCTGTTGGCGGCACGGCGCTCTTGTCTCGGTGTGAGCACAACTCTGATGACTGAGAGATAGGTCAGGGCCGGCCGGCGCTCTCAAAGGGAGGGGGATGAGAGAGGGGAGCGGGGACATGTGTGGCAGTGACGGGCCTGTGGCGGCGGAGTTTTTTATGGACGCCATTGCGGCAGGGAGACCTCCGAGTCATTACCGGTAATGTGAACCGCTAATGGTTCGCGGCGCACTGTGCTGGGAAGAGCTGCGAGTGTTTTTTGTTATTCGGGATGGGGTGCCGGATTAAATGATCAACGGGATATCACAGATCTTTCCTGGATATGCCGTAGCTGTCTCTAGTCATTAATCAGAGTATTGATCAGTGCTGTTTTGTGGCAGCATTCCAGCTGTGCTTGCTAACACATCGCTATTTCGTGCTTGCATATTAAGCTATATTTTAGCACACTCTGATCTGTACCAAAGTCCCGTGGCTTTTAAGATCAGGCGCCCAACGCTAAGATTAAAGTCCGCCGCTCGTTTACCAAACATCAATACACCCCGTGGTCTGTTCTCACGCGACCCATTGATTGACTATCGACGTTCCAACGGGCTCGTCCTCGGGCGGTGGCCTCAGGCCTTGTTTGGAATCAGAGCGAGTAGCCGACAGGCCCCAGAACGTTCACAAACTGATTAGATCAGCCCGGAACGGGGCAGAGGGCTGGCAGTCACCCCCAGATGCGTATTGGAGCTCTTCGAATGGGCGCCGCGTCTCCTGAAAAATGGCGCTTTTCGGTTAGTTTGGCTCAAAGTGCAGGGAAGAAAGGGAGCGAAAGTGCGCTTTGTGATGTCAATTTACAAGCGAAAGGAAAGGGGAGAATTTCATTGGCGAGGAATGGGGAGCTATGATTTGCTCAGGAATGTTTTGATATGATGCGATATTTGATGGAAGGTTCTTGGATAGGGGGAGAGTCGATGCAATAATCTTGATCCGTTGAAGGCTATGAAATGACGTGTAAATCGATTGATGCTTACACGAAGAATGAAGTAATTGAATATTTATTATTCATGGTTCGTCTGTGATGTGGTGCTCACCATACCCTTTTACCCGTCCATGTGTTCATAATGTGCCTCAGGACACATTCAATCCTTCGTTTGGCATCCGCATTATCACACGGAACCCACACCTGCCGTTTTTACACCTCTTTTCAGCCCTTTCTCGCGTCCCATGGGTGTCCTCAACATATCTAAGCCGGCTGTGGCGGCGGTCTCTGCCAATAAATAACCCGGGTTCCTGCTCCAATCCGCCCTTCAGGATCACAGGGGAGTCCGGGGTAGTTCTTTTATCCTCACCTGGCCCGAGGGACCGGAACCAGGGGTGTGACATCCGTTACTGCAGGTCTCATGTGGACCGGATTTAATGTGTATAGTGTATAGGTGGGAAGGGCTCTGACGTGGTATGCTGCGATTCAAAAAAGAAACTGCAACCCGTATCTTGTCTTCGTATTCATCATCTCTTCTTCATCTCTTCTTTCGTATTAGAATCAGAATAAGGCGCACTTAAGCAACATTACGAGTACGACATCTATCGACGGCACTACAAACCACATACACCCCCGAATCTCGCAGGACAGAGTCGAGTGTTTGCCGGTTTGTAAGTTCGTACACTGTGGCCTGATGGTGGCCTGAGTCGGTGACCGGATGAGCCGACTGCATCAGCGGCACAATAGTTTCATTGCCGGGCGGGCCAGTCGACCGGAGAGGAAGCGACCAGTTGGCCCAATCTGGCGGCCCGGAGTCGGCTCACTCGGGGCGCGGGGCTGCGTGTGCGTGTGGGATGTGAGTGACAAGGGAAAAGAATGATGGGTGATCCGCGTAGTCACGTTAACATCACACTGTGTGACATGTTTCTGCAGGTTTTGACAAATGGTGCTACGAGCTAGCCTACAGAGTAGATTTAAATTGTGAAAGTTTCGTCGTCATCAAGTTCTGATATGGGTTTTAACCTCACTTTTCCGCGAACGAATTGTGCGTAACTTTTAGTCCTGTGTGGGATGACTGATATTCTGAGTTGTTTGAGGTTCAGCTCAGGAAGTTATGCCAGACTAATTTAGCCCGCGCCCTGATGGGGGGGGGCCATTTTGGCCCCCCCCCCCCTGTGGTTTTTCTTAAATAGCGAGAAAACGGCGGCGCGCAGCGCCGCCAAATTTTGGGTACCTTACCGGACATCAATTTGACACCTTCACACAAAATTTCAAGTCACAGGTCACCTCAGGTCAGGAGTTATTGAGGTCAAACTGAGGTCATGTTCGAGTAAAAATGAGCAAAAAACATGACATCTTGAAACGCTCACCAATTCTACAGTTAACAAGCAATTTTAAAGTTCTTTATGTGGTTGTGTAGAGAAAAGACGGCGCTACAAAACTGATATCTCGGATTTTCGAAATTTTTGGATTTTGACCCCCAAAAAATAAAAAAATGATTTTTTTAGAAAAACTCAAAAAATTTCCAAAATTTTTTTTTCGAATTTCGAAAAAAACCGGAATATATGTGATAGTCCCTGCGCTCTTCGATATACATACAAAATTTTAGATCGATACCTCTTTTTTTGGCCAAGTTATAGCGAAAAAACTGTTAAAAATTGATGACGTCAAATTTTTGAACTCAATTTTTAGCAATTCTAGACCTCGTAGCGCAAAACAGAGACCACCATTGAACTCCCCGTGACGAGCTGCATCGAATCAATACCCATTTTATGCAAAAATATCAACTTTGAAATTTGACCTAATTTGACCTGACCTTGACCTGACCTTGACCTGACCTTGACCAAAACGTGACCTAAGCTAGCCCTAAAGTCTGTCTGACCCACATAATCGCATTTGTCATGTAAAATGGACCATAAAACATGTATCACACGACACTTTCATATTGTGACCCCCCAGTGACCTGACCTCTGTGACCTGACCTGGTATCAGTGACCTCAAATAGCAAAATATGTGTTTGAAGAACATTTCCCCATCGATGATTTTCAATGAAATGCATTTTACACGATTTTACAACGCATTTCTTGAAATGCCTGTAAACGGTGAAAATTCGACCTTTGACCTGACCTGTGACGTCATCGGTTTGACCGAGGTCCATGAAATTGGGTCACAAGGTAGTTCCTCGTTGGGGCTATCCAACACCGTTTACCGCTTGTCGCTATGTTGCGTGGTTCTCGAGATCTGAGGGGGGGGCCAAAATGGCCCCCCCCATCAGACCGCGTTGCTCGGCAGACCCCATCTGGGCGCGGGTTAGTAGAGTGGCCAACTTTGAACCACTTACGGGCTAGATAACTCGATATTTAGCCTTTCGTGGTTTTGAAAGCCGTGCTATTAAAACGCAGTCTTACTGGCGCCTCAAAGAGTTATCAGGGGCTTCGTTTTCGGTGTCGAAGCCTCGACTGTTCCAAAGACGCTGAACGATTCGGTCAGCTGTCTGCCAGTCCAATGTTCAGTGTCAGATTAGAAACCCCACGAGGTGACAGCTGTAGCTATTGCTCCTGACAGGTGCATTGTGAACTTTTATTTGCAATTTTAATAGACAATATCTTACGGGCTTACTGCAAACTGCCGGAGCGTATTGTATCGAGGTTTTTGCTTCGCTCTGAAGCTGCTTACTGCGGCATGTAATTGGCTTGCTTTCTTGCGGGAGCTTTTTGAATTGTTTCAGGCCCACATACAGAACTAATATTTGGTCTCATCCAATGTTTTTAGGGCAATTGCTCCCTCTTCATTGTCGTGTCCTGATGTTGATCTCCAGTATGCTCCTTTGCGTCATGTCACACCCAGCCCCTGTCGCTCCAGATACAGTTGCTAACCACCACCCCTGTCTTCTGTCCCCTCAGGCGGTACCTGATTCTGTCGAGCCGCGTGGTGCGTCCCGGCCACCCGTACCGCCTCTCTGTGAACGTGCTGGATAACCGACAACCAGTGGTGGTGCGCGCCGCCCTGTTCAGGGACTCGGTGCGACTGAGCGGCGTGCAGCGAGAGTGTGCCGAGAACAGCATGAGCCTGCTCGAAATACCGGTGAGTGTGAATTAGATTAGACAATTAGATTACTTAGACAGCATCAATGAGGGATGGGGAAATAAGGCAGCGATAGTGCTGTAGTACGGTGGGTTTTGGATTGGAACTGCAGTGGATGTGGTTGCGAGGCACAATCCTCTTCATATTAAATGGGGGAGGGTGTTCGGACTCGGTAATCGCTATCAGTCCAGTGTCATTCAGTCAACAGCAGTGGTGGCTGAGTCGTCTCCATGCTTCTCATAGTCGGTTCACGATAATCAATCTCACAACCAGTCTCCGTTCGCCCTTTATTATTCTCTCATCATTATAATAAAGTTACCGTTGTTGTAAGAGCAACACGATTAGCTTATCAATTATTATTTGGTCTTTGGCGATGGGACGCTGTGTGGTCCTGCTTATGCTTAGCAATGAGCGAATAATATTAGGAATGCACGCCCTTCTTCTGTGCACCGATTACTTTATCGTTCCCCTGCCATTAAACATTGCACGCTGTTTTCGCACTGTGATCTTATTCATTCCATCCGGACTGCTGAAATTAATGTTGTGCGCATCCTGCTCTACAGATTATGTGCTTTGATAGTTTCACTCTAAACCATTACAGCTTCTGGTGATCTGCATCAGTAAGACATAAGAGGCACAGGCGCCAGAGAAAAACACTTAGCAGCGGTCTGTCTTATCAAATAATGTGATCCTGGCCACCCGCGAGTCTGGCAAGGGAAGGTTCTGCGTTGGACCCCAGTGGCATTTAGATTGTTTGCGTTTTTCGGATGCAATGGGGAGGAATGAATGTGGTCTTGCTGGTGCAGTAGCGGGGCAGTGGTGTAAGTAAAATTAATGATCTTGTCACATTTAGATGTTCATTGTGCTCATTGGACTCTCCGACCAATCCACTTTACTGGCGCGCAACAATTTTATGTTCTTTCAAAAAAAAAATATTTATGAGTAAACAAAAAAAAAATCCCCAGGCCGACGGAAACTTGTTTTATGCATGAAATTGCAATGGTAGCTACATGTATAACTCAGAGGCATTGCAAGAGCAGATGGAACTTTCAATCAATGAACGTTTCTGCACCACCGAACCCATACCGTCTCTATCATTTTCATCCAATCACCCGCCGCGTCCAACCCTTCTCACCCTCTCTCAGCACGCCTCGTCAGCCTTTCGCCAAGTGGGGGCGGCGGTCTCAGTCCTCTCGACCCTCCGCCCGATACCCGGCTGGTGGGATCACACCACACGGCTGGTGAGCTAAGCGGCCCATGATCCCCGCTCGGCGCCGCGGCGCGGAAGGGGTGAGCCAACCGCGCGGCGCGCGCGCGGCTTCCGTTGGCGCCGCGGCCGGACAACAGACCCCCTCCGGAGGGGGCAGGGGTGGGGGGGGGGCAGATGCGGCGCACGCGTGGATAATCCGGTGCGCGGCCCAACAATCGGCCGGGCGACGCGCGCCCGATCGGCCTGACGGTTCAATGCGGCCCGTCTGGGAGGGTGGCTGTGCGGCGCGGGCTGCCGCAGTCGACGGCGGGCGGCTGCCTGTGCGGACGGGGAGGTGCGCTAATGGATAGACGATGATTCATCAATCGTCGCCGCATTATGCCTAAAATGCATTCAAAAGCCCGGGTGGCAGCCTTCACCGATCACGCTGCCTCGCTGGACGCTGGATAAAGGGTGAACGATTCAGTGGTGCAGCTGCCTGCCTGAATCTGAACTGTAGAAGTGTAGAACATCGTGTGCACTTGTGTAGCACTGTTGGATGCTGTTATCTTGTTCCATCCTTCGATTCCGATCTTGTAAGCTTCCAAACCATCGAAAACATTCGTCAGTTACAAACGCCTTTCTTCCACATCCTTTGAACTTGTGTCACTCGCTTCTCACAACTCCTAACCTCAAACGCGCCGCATAGCTCCGGGCGCGTGCCAGCGCAGAGCGGCCCGTATGCGTGCGGCTCCCCCGGCGGTGGGGCGACACGCGCATTACGCACAATGCGACGAGCGGGTGGCCGTGTTGTCGCGCGCGCGGCGCGGCCGCTCTGTGTTGTGGAAAGCGGTCGGTAGCGGTGATCGCGTTGTTTGTTGGTGTGTGTGCCGACAGAGGTGCCGCCGGCCGCGACCGACGGCTTCCTTCCGACCCGGAAACACACCCGTCGCCGCCACCGCTGGGGTCGGGGTGGGGAGGGAGGGGAGCAGGGGGATGTGGAGAAGGGGTAGGTAGCGCCGAGCGGTCTAGGCGGCTGCATTGGGAACTTTGGGAGGCGATGTATTGCTAAAGGATTCACCCAACGCTCTTCAACAATTGTCGAAACTTCGTACCTAAATCAAACGTCAAATGAGTTGTTTCTGTCTGTCATCAACGCTTCCACTTCGCTTATTTTCTTATCGATTTGATGCCAGCTGTTTCAGTTATAGGTACTCCATCTCTATGATAAAGGACTGAGGACAAGAATTGAGGCATAAACTCGCATGAGTTGTGGGTCAGTGCCGAGAGGAACATTTCTAGCGCGATGTTATTATTCATGTTTAGGGCCACATTATGGAAATCAGCTTTCAAACAGTTTGGTTGGTAGGTAATAGGTATGCTTACTCTCAGACCTTTATGTTCTTCCACATCGCGCAGTGTATTAGCTGTCGACGTTTCACTGGGAAAAATGTTGCGAAAATGACCAAATTACAGTGTCCTATCCTAGTTCAATCGGGCGTCTTCTTTATTACGTTTCAGTGGTGCTGTTCGGAGGAAATGTTGACTGAAGTACGCCTCGTTGCGAGCTCTTTTCATCTCGGTTAGAGACGAGGTTTATTGCCTCCGTTTGGGAGCGCTGCTCGTAGCTTTTCGGCAGGCTGTTATCTATCGAGTATATTTTCTTTTGTCCGGTTGTTGTCGTGTGTGCTCGGTGATTACATCCAATCGCTGATTTATTTCTCTAGTTTCTGTTGGTTGTAATGAAATAGGGCTGCTGAAAAAAGACGCTGCTGTAAATAACTTGGGGGAGGTATTCCTTGTTCACAACTTCATGCATGTTGCATATGAGTACGCAACCGACAATACGTATTATACGTAAGATATAAAATGAAGTAGATACGCTTAACGACTGTTGAACATTAGAAGGCACATACCTATTTTTTGTACGTTTCTTTAATTCCCCGGTCCAGGCGTTTAGGCACTCTCACTCGATTTCCTTGAACCTCCGGATTATCAACGATTTATTTATGCAGTCTCACAACAGGCCTGCGATTGTTGATGTCATTCGCGTGTCCTACCTCAGCTACCTGTATCGCCAGATAAAATACAGATACACGACTTTGGCTGATCACGCGTGTCAGGAACTTTCCTCATCTAGTTAACGGTAATTCGCTCAGACAATTCAGACATGTCTCCCTGCGGTAGGCTACCGGTCACGTGACTTGTGTACCCGCTGTAACCGCTACGGGTCGTGCCTACAGTAGAGGGCATTGTTCATGCATTGTGTCACGCAGGCCAGGTTCGTGACCCTTTGTGCCGGCAACCTAGCCACTTGAACCACCCGCGTTCTCACCACGAGAAGCCACAGCCTTCCCGCGTGTGACCGTCACGTATGTTGACCAATTTTCTGGTCATAGGTGATGAATGCGCTGTTTTCGCGGTGTGTTTGCTTCAGATCCTACCCGCAATGGGGCTTCGAACGGTAGTTGTTCTGTCAGTGAACTAGGCCTTTATACCTGCAATTGCATGGGTAAAAATCCCGAGCCTTGGATTAGAACAGTGATTGCGCAAATTCCTTGCGAGGTCTTTAAATGAAGCTGGCTGGCCGCTGACAAGTGACAGCAGCTGACCAATAACGTCTTCTTTGTGTACGTATGTTACAAATTTACAGAGGATATGAGGAAGTGTGGTTAATCCCAACTTGATCATGCTTAGCCTGCTCTTTGAGATACACACTCGCGCAAGTAACAAAAAGAAAGCCAGACCCAACTTTGTAACTTATTCTTTACGCCTTGTCATTATCCGACCCAGCTGACTTGACCTACCGTTCGTCAGGTGCCGTCCAACAGCGGGCCGGGCCGGTACCGTCTACACGTGGAGGGGAACGAGCCGGATCAGCTGGAGGGCTCGCTGTTCCGTAACCAGACCGAGCTGCGGTTTGAGGCCCGCTCGCTGACCATGCTGGTGCAGATGGACAGCCCCGTCTACCGGCAGCTGCAGACAGGTGAGGAGCTGACTGCGGGGTCAAGACGACAGGGCCTGGTTCATATACATTATACATAGAAAAGTGGAAAAAGTAAAAGTTTGCTGGAAAAGTGAGACAAAGTATGGCAAAGGGTGACCCGACAGATGGGTTCTTATAGCCACCCTTACACAATACACACCTCACCAACGTCATCAAAAGTGTCCTTTGAGTAACTAAGTGGCACTTTTGCAAAGTGATAAAGTGACACTAGCCTACGGGCTTTTCTATGCATATGAGCTGGGCCCTGGGACTCATTGGTGCAGTCATGTCATGGAATTATTGGCCCTCAGAACGCCCTTGTGGTTGCTAAGGTGACAAAAACGATTTCCGCGGCCGACCCACGCGCTATTCGATAAATGTCACTGGCACGCGGCATCACGCAACCGGAAATTCCGGTCACACCTGCTGACGCGAGGGAAGTTTTGGGTGCGCTCACCGTTAGCGAATTTATTTTACTTACGGATGCGATAAACCTTTGAAGTTCATGACTTTCGTCGAGTTTATTTCTTGTGTCATGGGTGAACGAGCCCTGCTCAGGAGCGAGCTTGTGGGACACAGGATGGTATTTGAAAGATTGTGATGCGATGCTGCTGCAGTAACTCATTCGTTCAACACCGCTGTTGAATCACTCACCCATTGCTCCATGTGCTGCGCTGATGAAATTGCGCCCATTGAACAAACGACTGCCGATCAGTGTTCGTTTGTTTCACGTTTGCCCTTCCCTGTCCAGTGTCCATGGCACACGGGGCCCACAGTCTGTCGAGCAGACCCCTCTTTACGAGCCGACCCCAGCCGGTCGGCACTTCAGTCGCCATTACCCGGCATTGTTCCTGTGCGGGAGGGGGTAGTGGTCGACTGGGGCACGGGAGGGGAAATCAGTGGGACGTCCGCTGATTACCGGCGTGTGCCACGTAAATTTGAGCCGGCCACGTGCCACGTGCCGCACGAGTGACCCCCCCCCCCCCTCCCCCAGTGCTGGCCGCCCCTGTCTGCCCTTATGGGCTCCCTTCCCCTCATGGCCCTTCCCCGTTCATTTTTCGGTCCATCTGGCTACTCACACTCGTTCTGTCATCTGTATGGAGTCGATGTTCGTTATCCGTTTTGATATAACTTCAAACAGTTGTTTATGATGTTACAATTTTGTATTATTTTCATTTCAATCAGTGTTTTCGTTGTTTTCGTTTCTTTTTCTGTTTTCGTTTCTCCTTCAACCAAAGTCTGCATGTGTCTTGTAGCAGCAGGGGCTGAAGCTATCGTGAAACCGAGAAGATGGCTTCTGAAGATGTCTTCATAACCCAGCAGGATGTCATCCAAAGGGCTTATGAACCCTTCTGAAAGACGAATCCGTCCATTAGATTCTCAGTCACGTAGCCAGACAGCTTTGTTGAATCGTCGCTTGATTTAAGGCCTGTGTCGCGCTCTCTGTAGGGGTAGCGAGTACGCCGCCGGTGCCGTTTTGAGACTGGTGAAGCTGAAACGGAGCGCTGTTATCAGTATTCGAGTCATGATGGCTGATGCTGTCTGGTTCAGAACTTCGGTATTTAAAATGACGCTTCTCTTGGATCGTTTTTCCCTTCTATGAAAAGGACAGCCAATACACGTGTAGAGCAACTGTGTTATGCAGCAGTGGTCACTTATATTTTATCTGCAACCATCCACTGTCCCCGCCGATTCGTCCCCTGCTCCGGTGATCGGCAGCTGCCCTGAGGGGTTTGTAATCGTCACCCCCACCGGCACTGTTGACCCCGAGTTCCCCTGATCAGTCACCCTCTGGAGACTGTGATTATCCCCTCTGGCGTTATCTTCGTAGAACTGCCCCGCTCCTGCCTCTCAGCTCAGATGTTCTGACTTCATGGCATATTTCGGATCGATAGGGTTTGGCTTCTGCTGGGATGACGGAATTGTTGCTATAACGGCAGATCGATGGCTCTTTTGGGGTCGCTTGTCTGGAGGTTTCAACCAGTTTCTTGCCGTAGTCTGCGCCGCTATGTCTCTTGTCTGCGTGCACTCACACCCCATCTTGACGTTTATCCTCCTTCCTTTCCATTCCTTCACGTCCTTTTCCCGCTGCCCGGTCCACCCCGCCGCTGTAAGGGGGCTCAACACTCCCATTGGAGTGGTGCGTGTCCACCCGAGCCGTGTCCCAGTCGACTGATGACTTCTTCGCTGCCGCCCTCGGAAGGCGAGTAATGGCCGCCATCACTCCCGAGAGTCAATTAACGCACACGCCGCCGGGAGGGACGTGTTTTTACCCAGAATGCTGAACTCGCGGCCTGAGACAGGCGCGTGCTCGGGATGGTGCGACGGCGTGGGGCGTAGCGGGAAGTTGGAGGAACCGAGAAGAGAGAGAAAAGACAGAAATTAAAAATGACTTAGCAGGCTGACGATGGTACGATGGGTGATTGGAGGGGAAAGGGAGGAAGTTATCAGCGCTCATCGCTTTCAAGACCTAACGCCATGTAAGACTTGGAAGGTTTTATGGTCTTCAAGTTGAATTTTTTCGAGAAGGCAGAATTGACTTTTGTTGAATCCTCAAAACTTATTGCATATTGGTATTTCGTTGTATACTTTTTGTTTCAGATTTTAGTACTGGATATCCAATCTTCCGGGAGGAATTTCATTTTCTTCTGTCGGTTTCTTACCATGTTTGTTGTCTCTCTTCCTTGTTCATCGCTCCTTTACGGGATTTCCCTCTAACAAGCGGCGCCGCTGGTCTCCTATGGGAGTCACAACTGTCCGCCCGCGGGCCTGTTTTGCCGGCAGCGGCCGCGGGGAGGCCGCTCCGCTGGGGCTGGCCGGTCGGTGCCACCGCCCGGGGCGGTGCCGAGTGCCCTCAGGGGACACCGGTCGCCGCCGGGGTCGCAGGGGTCACACACCCCGCGCGCTGGCGCAGCTGGCGGACTGAGCTGGGGTCAGAGGAGGGAGGGTGGCGGGGCAGCGGCCGGACCGGTACCCATGGGACCAGACCGCCAGAGGAAGGGTGAAGCATTTGGCCATGGTGAAAGTCATCGTCTCTAATTGAAGTTCATGACCGTGGGTAGCGGGTGTTCTCTTGTGTCTTTTTCACCAGCTGTTTCTTGGGACCGTTGTTCCACGTAACCTTAAATAGACGGGACGATCGCTTGGCTTTTCTACACCAGACAAGGTTCACTGCGCTCACCCAATTGACAACACATCTCAAAAGCTGTTTGTGACGTTACGTGCTCTTTTAACGGCGCCCTTTTATCAGCACCCATGCAGGGCTCCAACCAAACGAACCAATTAGGTCGGTCATGGATGGCCCTTTCAGTGTGGACCCGTTTCGCGTGGGGTACCGCCTGGTCCCGGTCTGCACGACGCACGCATCATCAATCATTTCCCACCACCTGCTTATTCGTGGCGCTCGTACCAGTTTTGTCCATCCTCGCGGATAAATACTCGGGACTGATCACTAGATTTACCGTGGCAGACCAGCGTCTGCTGGTTCGAGATAAAAGTCCAACCCTTGATGGTGATTTTATTTTCATTCGTCACTTTGATTGCTGAGACTGTCCAACGTAAAACTGGGATGTCTTTGATCAACTTGTGTTTGTGTGTATAGCCCTGACTCCTGACTGGAGCTCAAAATGCCTATGAGCTCAACAAACCAAGATGCAGCACACTATGTAGATGTAGGGCTGAATTCAAAGCCAAATCGAGCCCGGACGCCGCAGCACACGTCACGCAGAGTGTCTCTTGCGGAAGTGAGTGTGCCAGGAGTATCTACAGTCGCACTCTCGGCGGTCTTGGCGGGCCGGGCTGCCGGTGGCGAATCTGGCGCACTGCTGACATACCCTGCGTGCCGTGCGCCTCACAGTTTAACCGGTTGATGAGCAGTGCATCGATGGGATGCCTGTTGGATGCCACGAGAGGTCAGGGTGTGTGTGTTAAGAAGATGGTGCAGCTTGCCTCAGCTGCTGCTGTTGCGTATGTGTTATGGAGAATGGCGTAAAGTTATGGTTTGAAAGGGAACTTTGTTTATAAGGTGCAGATTTTGACGTTCTTTGAATCCCGTGTAAGATCCTTAATTAACTACCATTTTTTTAGATGCATTGTGTCGTAATTTCAGCAGAGCGTTTAATATTTACTGCTGCTTCGTGTTACACGAAAACGATCACCACTCTGTGCCGAAATCACAACACCATTAAGCACAACGGAAGCTAAAGTAAACAAGGGGCGGCGTTTTTCGTCTGGGATGGGCCACAAAACATGCTATTCTTGCCAGCTTGAAGGGAGCACCTGTGACCGGGTCCTTTCCCCGCACTGCTTTCCCCGAGCGGATGAATTTGTACAGCTTCTACGAGACGGTCCACTAATATTTTTGATAGCTAAGTGGAACTTTGCTAGTGATATGCAGAATGCTCCTAGATTGAGCATCAAACTTAAAGTACAGTTCAGTCGCGCTTTGATGGGTCACGTTAACGTTCTTTCAAGCGACCTTGCTTCACTCACATTTCTTTGGCTCCAGTTCTATTATTGAAACTTTGCCTCGCCTGCCTTTTGCTTGTAATGGGTCAGGACTCGACTCGCCAAATCTAACCGATGCCCGTCTATCGTATGTTCCAGTCCGGTTCCGGGTGGTACTGCTGGGAACCGATCTCAAGTCGTTCAAGTCATCGGCAGACGTCCGGCTGCTGGATCCGAACGGCATCATCATGAAGCGATGGCCGTCACTGCAGGTGAGCTCGGGGCCGAGTGGGGTGGTGGTAGAAACGGTGGATCAATTGTTGATTCATGCCAGCATGAGAATAATGAAAATTGTTTTCGGTCAAATGGCCCCGCGATTGTGCTATACTTAACCTGAACATTGACAAATGTGGCTGGTCGATGTCGATGCTGAAAGCTCGAAACAAAACTACAGGAATCTATAGTGCTACTTCACGACAGATAGTTGAAAGTTGAAACTTTGTCCACAATTTCCACACGTCTGACACTGGTTGTGGTTAGCGAGCTATATATGGCCTTGGTTAGCGAGGAGTGGAGCTGGTGCGCCAAAGCGTCATATTTCTCTGACGCAGGATCAGCCAGCGGCTTACCGGCGCTTTGTGGGATTTGTTTCACGATACTGGGCCCGATTTTGTCCCTGTATGCGATGGTGGTTATGTCCCTGAGCTTAGCTACATAGCCGTTTACATAGATTTTTGGACTATGAATCATTTATGGCGCCAAAAAGTGCATCCCGATTCAATCAAGCAACCTCATTTCCATATTGAGGCTGCATATTGACGTGGAAAGTAGCGTCGTTTTTTCATAACCCGATAATGGTTTCATTATTATTGCCTTAATGTGACAATTCTTGTTGTGATAAAACTCAATGCGTGATTTGCGATTCAATCTGTTAGCTGGCTATGCATTGTCCATGCTCCAAAATGGGCGTAACTCTTCACTCTGCGGCGGGTTAAACGTAATAAAATTGCTGCAATTGTATCAGTATCGAAGAGCATAGCGGTACAGTATCATGAATTCATAATGTCACATGGCATGCATCATAACTTCCTATCCTATATTAGGCTGAATGCCAGGAACTGGCCATAGCACCTCGCCCATAGACCCTGACAATAACACTCTCGTGGGAGCGACCGGACTTACTGGAGCGGCAACATCACAGACACGACACTACACGTATTTTGCACGAGACCATTGCAGTAGAGTGCAAAGTCCCGTGCGACAAGTAATGACACAATGACACATGATGGCCCATCGTAGCTGGTCTCGGCACAAAACGGGAGCTGGGAGACAGATGTGGTGGTTATCCGAAGGATAATCCCCGCATAAATCTGCTTTTGGTGGAACGGCACCTGCGCGTATGATGGTCCATGCAAATCTCCCATTTTTATCTGCCGCATTTTTTCCCACGGGAAGTTTTTTCGTTTTGATCATTTGGCACATCCATGGAATTCAAGGACAGATCAAAACAATAGGGGAAGTTGGGGCAATGCCGGAGTTGGGGCAAAGCCGAAATTCGAGATATTTCTAAAACCGTACGACATGGTTGCCACGTCTCAGTGATGCTCTGAAGCTTAAGTGACTACAATTATCGCATGTTTGTTACGAGTTGTCGTTTGGAATACTTCGGCTGTGAGGGCGCCAAAAGCGTTTTCAAGGTACGTTTCCCTTGTACTACATGCGCCTTTGAAGCTGCATTTCTTACTCATTATGCTACCGTTTGTCTGGCCAATTCGGTCAAGTAATCTTCAGCATGTCTTTGCATAAGTGTGCTGCCTATTTGAAATTTATACAGCACGTTTAAAAGTTATGGGCCTGCAAATGAAAGTATGGCTGGCTGGGGTAATGCCGAAAACGTGCAATTACGCACGTTAAAGCACGCTACGTGGACTTTACTGCTGTAGAATAGCAACGCGTATTTTTAGTCAAACAAATTACACTTTCAGCCGGCACAACGGCCTGTTACCTATAAGGAATGATTTGCCTAGCATTTTTTTTTTATTATATCACACAATTATAACTTCCAGTGTGCACCAAGCGTCCTCAAGCTCTTAAAACGCGTGTCAGCTTTGATGAATTTTGGATAAAGTTTGAGATAAATTGGCAAAACATCAATGTCTGCATTCCTCGTAGATCATTTATCCCATTTTCGGCTTTCCCCGCAGTCCGGGGCAACGCCGAAAAAGTCAGTTCTTTGATATTTTTAGTTTTTGCGCTTAACGGTATGCGAATTCATCAAATGCGCCTGGTAGGGGAAGCCGGGGGAAGCCCGGCATAGTAAGCTCTTTTTCATTTTTATTACATACCATACGTGCTGTGTAAAATTTTGATATCCTGTTAGCTAGCCAAGTTCATTGGCCGTGTCTTCCCAAAAATTCGGTTTCGTGGAACAAGTATAAGGTTGAGAAAATCGAGTTTTAAAAAAGTGTTGATTTTTCTGGGGTAAGCCTGGCATAGGGGTAACGCCGGCCACCTCCCCAGCGCTTTACAACGAGTTGATGAAACCATTATGTGTCTTCCAAATATTAACGGAAAGTGAAATATTAAGGTACTGATTAGCTCTGGACATCTTAGAGTTTATGTCACTACTGGTATTTTAGCTAGCGTCTACCACATATACAGTACAGGTCGATGAAAATCGTGATGCAAAATTGATTAAAAATGTGTATTTCAAAATTCCTTAAAATTTATTTTTCTTTTTACCTTAATGCATCATATTGCATATCATTCGACTCGGCTGATGAAGAAGAACACAACGACACCATTTTTGAAGCTCTAGCTTCATTGTCTGTCGCGTTATCTGCAAAAACGTAGTTTGACCCTAGTTGACCTTAAGTGACATGACTGGCTTTGTCTATGATAACATGTTTATTTTCGAAATTTATCTTTGATCTAGAAGTTAACGAAACCTGCTCAGTACCTATTATCTCATGGAAAACAGTGGTTTAGTGGTATTGCTCTCGGTTGGGGGTAAGCTTGGCCACTCGCCCGGGGTTACCCCAATGTGCTTATTTTTATTTTAGAACAGCGATGTTCGAAAAAATGTCATACTTAAGCCAGCCAGCCTCGTCACCCCTCACTACAAACACTTAAACGGTCCTTACATAACATTCGTATAAATATTAGTACTGTATGGTATAACATTAACAGTGCAACATATCTCACTTTTTAGCTAAAAACCCTTAAAATATCATTTTTGCTCTATAACTTTAACAATATGCAATTTTTGTTAGCCTTAACTTTTTTGCTGGCGTTACCTTAGCTGCCACGCTGAAAGGACAAACAGTTGAGCATTTTATTGTGAATAATTTAGCCGGAAACGGGGTGGCCGGGCTTCCCCCGCGCCCGGGCTTCCCCCGGCTTCCCCTATGTTTGAAAGACAAAAGACTGGCCTCTCGAATGACGCCAACAAGAATAGCTTATGTTGTCTACCTTGCGTGCTACGGGCGTCAGAAAAAAAGTATTCGGCGTTCCCCCAATTTCCCCTACAATAAGTATATGATGACAGGTGAGGCAAAGTAGACCTCGCCCTCAGCATTCATCAATTCACTCATGAATTCATAAGCGTACCGTGGATCCTAACCTTTCCAGCGGGTTTTACTGTGGAAGAGGAATAATACGTTATGGAAGCTTAGACAAAGGCCGAAACTCAACTGTCTAGTTACAAAATAAGCATTTTTCATTACACCACCGTCCACCATCAACATAACAAAGCTTGTTAATGTAGTGCCTACAAGTACAAATCTGCTGCTCGGTAACTAACCGTAGCCAACTCCAGCCCCCGCCCCCCGCCCCCACTGACTTTACCTCGCTTGGAAATGGTGGTGGTGGTGGTGGGGGGGGGGGGGGGTGGAAGAGAGATGGTAGCACGATACCGACCCACCAAGGCCCACACCGCCCCGGGCCTAAATTGCGTGTTAAAAATGCAGCGGCTGGTCCGCCCGGAGCCCGGGCGCGTGTCGAGCCTCCGGGACCCGGGCGGGACCTCGGCTGAATACGATGTTACATAGGCCACGCACGGCAGTGACGAACAGTGACATGGAGGATGGGGTGGCGCTGGGATCGCTGAGGTTGGACGTGTAGATTATGCAGGAGGTCAGAGATTGGTGGTGTGAGCTTACGCTGAGGTGCATCGGTTTCGAGACATATTACAGATGGACGGTTTACAGTGTCATGCTCTCAAAAACATGCACTCGTTCTGAACATTTTGTGTATCTGATGATCAGACAATAAGCTGAAGAAAACATTAATGCAAAAGTTTTTTTCAAGTTTTCTTTACTTACACCAAACTAGGTTAGTGGCACAATGCAATCGACCCAGTATTCGTGAGGTCACTTTGCAAACATTCCCCAGGCATTCAGCGTTGTTTGTTGCGGAAATGTTCCCCTGGGCCGACAGACACTTCTAGACCTCCCTGTCAGGTTTTACACTCACTAGGTCATCAACTACCATCAACTTGTTGTCACACCATCTTTAGACACCTTGTTTCCCTGATGTCAAGGTTTTGGACCATAAACATGTGGAATAAACGAGGATTATTTGCATAAAAAGCGGCAATGTGCTGAGGATTCATCGATTGGGACAGGAGAGACACAAAAACCACGACTCTAGAGCCTGGAATTTATGTCCTGGGTGAGCGAATGAAGCGGTTCATTCGTTTCCGTAACGACCCTAAGTCCGGCCAGCGACGCTCTCATGCCGTTGGCCGTCGCTCTCATGCCCTTTTGGTACACAGATAACATCACGTGACTAACGACCAAGTGTGAGGAGACAGACGGCAGACGGTCACGTGACGAATGACGATGTTCCGTGGGGCTCGGCCCTGCCGGTCGACATGATCGTACGTTTGTGTCTCTGTCGGGGTCTGAAGTCTGTAGACCTGATATGGAAGGTGCTTGAGGTACCCGAGGCCTTATACGGTCTTCAGTTTGAGCTGCTAAGTTGTATAGTAAGGTGTCTTATGTTCGAGCCTCCTATAGGAAATGCTGCGTGGAGGGGTGTCTACCAGTAAGGATTTATCAGTCAAGTGTGAGACCACAGACGGAAGGACAGCCTGTTTCACGTAGGATGTTGTCGGTCTGCAAGGCCGGCTGTAAATTACCAGTGACGTTTCTTCGTAGCCTAATGTGACTCCATCCTCGTGCCTCGATATGACCACCGTAATGTCTCACTCATCTGTCGGCATTTCAGAACGATCCCGTGTTCGGGGCGGATAATATTTGGGGCTGGGATCTCGGTAACCGCAGTCGCGCGGAAGACGCCACTTTGGTCTTGTTTGCGCCGCGTTTACGGCCATCTGCCGTCTTTATCACGTCACCGCTGCGCCGTTTTTGCCATCGTCAGACCGGCGCTGTGCCCCCTGTACTCATATTGGCGGAAACGGTAGCCCGCCGTTGTGATCGCGGCCGCGCAGCAGGGTTTTTACGGACAGATGCGACCACGACTGTTTTTGTTGTTAATCGTTTACCGGCGCGGGGCTAAATTGCGAGGTGCTGTAATCATGTTAACCTGGTTAAGAATCCGTGTGGCCATTGTTTTCGTTGGGGACGAGCACCATGTTTCGTTTCGATTTTGACCTGATTCTAATCATCGCACGACCAAACTATGTGTTTTTTATCAGTCGTGTGGGACCTTATTTGACCTGGTCAGCGCTCAATATTCCAATAACCCGACACTCCATGCTACAATAGTCTCTTGTCCGTTTACTGCAATACCCACCGATCTGACCTCTTGCTGATCTGACCTGGCCTATCCCACAGTTCAGCACGGGTTTTGTGTCTGCAGATTACCTCGACAGACCCGACTGATCTAATTGTGACCTTTCCTCACAGTCCAACCCGAGTCTGGTGTCTGCCCATACCTGCACTGACCTGATTCTGACATCTCCCTCAGTCCAACACTGGCCTAGCGTCTGCCAAACACTCCCTACTGACCTGACCTTGACCTCTTCCCACAGTTCAGCACGGGCTAAGTGTCTGCCGAGTACCCGCTGACCTGACTGACCTTTTCTGCTTCTCATTACAGTTCAACACGGGCCTTGTGTGTGCCGAGTACCCGCTGACCTGACTGACCTGACTCTGGCCTCTTCCCCACAGTCCAACACGAGCCTGGTCTCTGCCGAGTGCCCACACTGACCTCACCTGACTGACCTTTTTTTCTGACCTCTCCCACAGTCGAACACTGGCCTGGTGTCTGCCGAGTACCCGCTGGGGGATCAGCCGGTCGAGGGCAGCTGGAAGGTGCGTGTTACGGCTCGCGGTCAAACTGAGGAGCAACCCTTCCTGGTGGAGGTCTACCAGCCGCCAAAGTTTGAGGTAAGTGACTCTGTTGTCACCCAAATTTCAGACAAGTCACATTGGGGTAAGGCAGCGTGTGAGTGGTGTATGGATGGGTTATCATTTGTGAGGTGAAACGGCTAAAACAAGGCAAATAGTAAAAAGAAAAGAAAAAACAGTAAAAGACTAATGAAGAAGAGCTGGTTACGTACCCTTCGGTCTTGTCTTGCGGATGGATGTGCCAGAAAAGTTTGTGCGCCGTTTTGAATATTAATCGGAAAGTCCGTCCCGTTTTTGGTGTTTTGGGAAATCCTTACGGAAATGAATTCTGTGTTGAGTGATGTCTGTGTCAAGAGATGACAGCTTTGATAAATTAATGCAATATTTTTGCCCCGACTGCTGTTTTTAAGGTAAAGATTTTTACTTTTCAGCAGATGTCGCTCTTCTTCTCAACGTCTTTTGCTATATTTCGCCGACGCATCATTTGATATGTGAACCTCTTGGGCTTTTGTTGCCTTTCACATCTCCGTTGGGGGCAAAATATCTTTCATTTTTCATTCTATGAAAAGCCGATACGCCGCCAAATCTTTTATCACGGCTGAAACGAAAGTTGGAAGGAACGAAGAAATTGTTTCTGCCTTCGACAAATTAGCAGAGCAAGAAGTGATAGCGGCCCTAATTTCAGTGACAAAACTGTGATCTGAAAGCAACGGTTGATTGGGAAAAAAACAATAGAAAAAGCAACTCAATGAAAGACTTAACTTACATATATTTTCCAATGGTAGAATGGTGAGCCATTTTCGCCACGATGACAGCCACAATGCCAAACGTTGAAACAGGATTTTTTAATATTCTGAAACATTTTTGTTTGTTGATCATGTGCTTTCTATTACCCCAGCCGACCTATGGTCTGGCTTACGACCTTGCCACTCCTGCGATAGCCCCAGGCTCTGTTTCAACATGCTCTGCTGCGCACTGACCCAGAACTGACCTCTGATATGACCCTGCCACCCCTCCCCTCAGGTGCTGGTGGAGACGCCGGCGCTGCTGCGCACCTCTGACCCGGCCCTGCACGTCACTGTAACGGCCGACTACAGCTCCGGCGGCGGGGCCGTGTCGGGTCAGCTGACCCTGCTGGCAGAGGCGGCCCCGCTGCACCGACACGTCGGCTGGAGGGCCAAACAGGTCGTCCTCGAGACCATCCACTCGGTAAGGGTGGGTCTGCTTGGGAGGGCAAGGACATTGCGGTGTATGTTGGGGAGGGATTCTGAAGCTTAGAATCACGGAGCCTGAATCTGAGAGGACGGCGAAAGGCAGGCAGTTGAAATATTTCGAAGTTGTTATGGCTTTAGTTCCTTTTCACGTTCTTTGAAACTATGTACGTTATTTCGACTGAATGCGTTTCCAATGCACCATTGTGTTAGTGCCTTGTAACCGCCCGTTTCCCTCACGACGGCCACCCTCGTTCTTCCGTTTCAGTTTTCGGGCCGCCACCAGACGTCCGTGCCGATGTCTCAGCTGCTGCAGCTGCTGCAGCCGCTGGACGGCTCCGAGGTCAAGGTCACGGCGCAGCTAGTGGATGACCAGCTGCAGGTCACTGGTCAGGGTCACAGCGCCACCCGCGTCTACGGAGACACCATCCAGCTGAAATTCCTGGGCGGGCCCAGCCAGGTGTTCCGCGCGCACATGCCGTTCAGGGCACATGTGAGTCAGATTAGGAAGAAGGCTGGGCGATAGATTTGTGCAAGTGGGGGGCTTGATTTGAGGCGTGGTCTCGGTTTTGGGGCTTGTTGTTTGTTTTTTTTCAGCGTGGATGGTTTTTGTGTGTGTGTTTTTTCACTTACGGTCTTTGCCTGCCACTGCCATTTTTTTTCTTTAGGTCAGTTGCTACAAAAAGTACTGACGAGTGACGTGCATCTTTCAGTCGCACATTTTCGCCTCTCCTGCATACCCTCTCACGAAGGCGCGGATCGTTTCCCACCAGCCATCTCATTATCCATTCGGCGTTACATTGACCGACATTGCGACAAAGGATGGCGGGGGCCGCCCAGTCGCAGCCCGCCGGACATATCTGTGTCAGAAGCGATTGATGAGTCCGCGACCCGTCAGCCCCGGAGTCGCAGAGCTGAATTACGGAGCGGGTCATTGGATGTCGGGTACATGGGTTTCATGGACGGACAGGCGCGCCGGCGTTTCAGAGAGCGTATGGCGCAGTGTTTAGTGTCGCTCGGCTAGATCGGTTTTGTATTTTTGGTGGGCGTTAGAATGTGTGTGTGTGGGGGTGGGGGGGGGGGCATTGTTCTGCTATGGCGGTGGGTTTGGTGCAGATTCTGAAGCAATTTGATCCCTGAATGACCGGAAATCGGAACCACGACCGCTAGGCGCCGCTATGACACAGTGTCCTAAAATCATATTTTAGCTTGGGTGTCAGAGAGGAAAATTATTCAGTAGACAGGGAGATGAGAGTGGAAAATTGGCGGTCAGGTGAAGCTGAAACACGTGGAAGTGGCAAGAACGGAGGGATAACGGAGAACGGAGGATTTCGTAACATTAATTTCCACACAAATGTGGTAGGATGTAAAAAAGGATGTAAATCATGTGTGTATGACCATGAAGTTTAAGACTATGCATGCCAGATTGCAGATGCTCTTTGTTTTTGAACTTGGGAGTGGAAAATTGTTCTCAAAAGTTTGAAGTGAGAGTTGAAAATTGTTTTCATTTGGATGTCGTCTCTCACCCAAATCGACAAATATTGGGACGCTGCTATGACATTGCCGTTGTGTGCCATTGTGTTTACGATTACACTGTCTTCTTGAGCATTTAGCAAGCTATCATGTTTTAATGTATCGGTTGAGATTTTGTCAGACTTGCTATCACGTAATCTGGCTCGTTGGCCTGCGACATGACCTGTTGACCTGTGATTACCCACCAGACCTGCGACCTCTATCGCCAGCCTGGTGTTGCATATTACCGACCACTCCTCACTCATAGTTGATCGTTTACCCGACCCGGTGACCTATAACGTGACCTATGACCTAACCCATGACCTCTGTCGTCAGCTGGTGGCCCATATGACGGACGGCTCCCGTCTCAGTCCGGAGCGGCTGGTCCGACACCGGCTGGACGTCCAGCCGGAGCTGGTCTTCAGGTTAGTGCGCCGGCAGAGCTGACGGTCTCACCTGGTAATTTCAGTTATTTTTACATATATGTAGTGTGTGTGATAGTCCTGACGTCTTTGCCGCCTAATGAATGTTTTCTTTATTATTTGATTAACAAGCTGTCATCAAATGACTCAGCAAAAGGCAGACTGTTTCGTTTATGAGCTAACGTTCCGGATCGGACCTCCGTGCAGGGACGGCAAGCGGTTCAAGATGTCGAAGCGGCGTGCTCAGATGTCTCCGAACCACCCGGGCGTCTGGGAGGTGGAGGTCGTTCTGTATGAGGAGCGGGGTGAGTTTTCTAGTTGCTGCTTGTCTTCTGTCTAGGAAATCTCCACTTCAGAATTTTATAGTGAAAGGAGAATAGCTTGACATATTGCGCAGTCACTGGCGGGGCATTCCATGTCAACCGGGACAGCCAAAATCGGCCACCTCTGCGATTTTGTTCAAACTTGGTATACTTATTGGCTATTGGGTGAAACCTCTGAGAGTGAAAGGATTTTGTCATATGCCCTCGGGCTACAGAGATACAAGTCGCTAAACTTCTGCTTTATGAGCAGAATTGGACGTGTATTGCAATCTTGAAAGTTCTATAGCTTCAACATTTTTGAAGTTATTAACCCATTAACGCCCAGCGGTACCAAAAGGTACCAACGCACATTTTGGCCCGCTGCGTTGACTTGAGACCATACGTTTTTTCGCCACATAGATGCTGTCATTGGATAATCGCCTCCTTTCCGGGTATGCTGTTGGATGAAAATAACGTGCTGATACAAAGAACTTCATGTGAGGTGCAGAAAAGCGAGGAGTGTTTCGAGGCGCCACAGTCATTGGCTGACGTTAGGAGAAAGAAACGTTTGTATTTGCATGTCTGTGAATATTCTTTTGGCCAAAGTGTGTTTACATTAAAGATGAAGAACTCGCAGCTGCAGTTAAGCAGAATATCCGATGTTTCGTCATGAATCCTGGCGTCCCTAGGGGAAGAATTCTTGTTGGTACCTTTTGGTACCACTGGGCGTTAAGCTAAGCGTTTTTTTTCGCAATTTCATGCGTGCGCGTTCTGTGCAGACGCGTAACAATGCTCAACGGAGTGATGCGGACAAATTGCCATTTGGGGCGCCATCCCTCAAGGGGACGCCACCGCCTAAAGACATTGGGTGCGTAAGAGGGGTGCCTGTGAGGCCATAGGGGCGCCGATATGCGAAAGAGGGGCACCTATAAAGTTCATAGGGGCGCTTCAATGCAAATGAGCATGTCCATAGGAGCGACTTCGATGCCCAAAGGAGCACCTGCATGCGAAAGAGGGGCACCCGTGAAGCCTCTGGAGTGCCTCTGAGGTCCATGAGGCCTATAGTATGTGTAGGGGCGCCAACACGCAGAAAGGGCGACGCCATGCAAAAGGGGCGCCCATGAAGGTCAAATTCGAGCTTCCATAAGAAAGCTTGGCCACTGCATCCCTAAGGATGGACGCCCCTGAGGCCTATAGAAAGAGGTGCGCCTGTGAAGCCCTTAGGGGCGCCTCAGTGGGAACGAGGGGCGCCTGTTAGGTCTAAAGAGGCGCCTTTGATGCCTATGAAACCTAAGGGGACGTCTCTATGCTAAAAAGGGGCGCCTGTGTAGGCTGAGAGTCGTTTGTGTAACGTTTCTCAGGGACGGTGTGCCGTTTGCGGCAAACAGAATCTAAAAAGAGTTCGGAGGGGAGTGCCTTCGTCGCCCTCGTCGCTTGAAACTGGTGCATTCATTGCTGATAAGTTATTCACCGCTGACGTGACACATTGATGTTGGATAGGATATTTGCCCTGTAATCGCTATTATTATTGCGGGTATCCCTGCCAAGCAGAGATGTGGTCAAGGCCCAAATGAATATTGCTTGGGGGAGGGGGAGGGGCATGGTTTTGAGATCGTCTTGTTTAGAAAGGCTGTTGATGTTGTTCAGGAAGATGTGGGTAACGACGTCACATCCCAGTGCAGTTTGTGCGGTAGTATACGAAGGAAATATTGATCCTGATGGTAGTGACAGACGTGTTCCTGCAGACCTGCTTGGTACGTGCACCTGATAATGCTGCGTACGCCGCGACTGATGCAGACACTGGATAAGAGTGGGCTCCGCCATGAATTGGCGCTTGCATTGTACTTATGCGGCTGTCACTACATATAGTCATCTGTGGCAAGGGGCGCGTGGCGCTCTGCCCGGAGACGTACATGGAGAAGTATAACGGCTAGAGCCTAGAAGCATGACGTGTTGACTGCTGCAACGTGTGCCTCAGCGCAACCAGCACTGCACAATCCGGCTGAAGTCCATTTTTGAAGATCTGTCTCGTTGATTGCTGGATTAGATTTGGTAGGTAGGTATAGCGCGTGTCTTGCAGTGCATGAACTGTAAGCACAGACTGTGCTGGATCTTGACTATGAACTTCATGTTTATTTTCATAATTTTGAAAAAAAATTATAAAACAGATTGTAGGGTGGTGTTTGTTTTGTCATTTGTATAAAGATATTTGTGCATTTTAGGAAAGTAAGCAACTCTACAAGCCTTGAAACCTGGGCTGCAGAATCGGAATCGGGAGTCAGTCGGAGTCGATATCTTTAACTGAAGTCGGAGTCAGAGTCGGAGTCGATTGTGGAAGCCGAAGCCGGAGTTCGAGTCGCCGAAAATCCCGCGACTCTGCAGATATACCAGGGCTGCGGAGATGGAGCAGGAGTTAGAGTCGGTCGGAGTCGACAATCATGCCTGGAGTCGGAGTCAGAGTCGGAGTCGAAATGTAAAAGTCTGAATTGGAGTCAGAGTCAGTCACTGAAAATCCATCAACTCCGCAGCATTGCTTGAAACAGCACAATTTTTCATTAGACTGACCCACCACCAGGTGAATAATAGCATTGACGTTTATGGCAGTTAGGCATAGCATGCAGTAATGACGTCATAATCTGACAACTTGAAAAACATAAGCGGCGAGCGTTTGCCATAATGTTGCCGATCAGTATGTCGTCTAATATTCCAATTTTCACGAATGAGCTGCAAAGTCTTCTTGGCAACATATCTTGTATGCTGCTAAAATGCATGTTTTTGCGAAAAAATGATATCACTAACGCCCAGTGGTACCAAAAGGTACCACTTCAAAAAAGGATATTTCTAGAATTCGCACATTTACCAAACTCACATGGTACCCTTAGGGGACCATTACCTCTAAATCGGCAAATGGGCATTCGTGTGCGTTCGCTGGGGAATTACGGGCGTTAATGGGTTAATTTCAAATAAACTGAAACGTGTACATAAGGAGTAATGCTAGTAAAATTTGACAATTTTTACATTTTTCGGTGATTTTGAATTTATTTTATTTTGAATTTATTTCTGAAAATGTAATTTGTGAAAAATGGGTACCCTTCGATTTCGCTCAAATTTAGATATTGTCTTCCACTACACGTAAGGCACAGGTGCTGAGAAAATTAGAGTGGGCCAACGATAACTTTGGATGATACAGCAACAAGTAGTGCAACGTAGCACGGGCGGTGGAAGGGGCCGATTTCGCTAACCCCACCAGTTTATCGCCAATAACTCACGACATAATTATTACATTAACGTTAAACTTTCAGTATCTGTCCAGAATCGAATTGCAAATCCTCCCGCGCAAGAAATAGGTAAATCGGTCCACAACTTTTCTAGTAATAGCGGTGTAAAGTCAAACATTCCTGTCGGAGCGGCTCGGCGGCCGGCCCCGGCCGTTGCCGCCTGAATGGTAGACTGTGCCGGCGCGGGACGGTTCCATCTTTGCACCGCGCTTCTTACCGCTGATTATGATCGATTCGTGTCAAATTTTGTGTGAAGGCTTAAAAATGTACAGGCAATCTAATGTTCAAATAAATACGAAAATCAACTGGTAAAAATGAATTATTAGGGTGCAAACACAATATGTGACTATGACGTTTCCCGCGTCGGCCGATCCCCGCCTCTGCCGGCGACATCTTACTCTTAGCAAGCCACTAACTGCCAAATTTATGGTAAGATTAACTAGAGATTCTCATAACACTACAAATGTCGTATAAAGGAAGAAATAGGAAAATCGGCCAGTATCTCTTAGAGCTATGGGCGTAGGTATAAACGCAAAATAGTCACTATAGCAAATTTGATCACGTTTAACCTCATTTGATCTTGAATATATTGATCTAGGACCATGAAATTGTCACACGATAAAGTTCCCCGCCTACAATTCAAATTCCGTTTTTTTAAGTACCTTTTTTGGCTAAACCGGGCTTTTCTCCCCTAGCGCTGGGAGAGTCAGGCGTATTTTCTTTTTGCAACCAAAGAGAGGCGCTGCCCGGAGAATGCCCAATTTCATCATTAAAAACTGGCTTACGATGACCAGCTATCTTCGTGGCTTAGTAGTAAATGTGCCGAGTGTACCCACCTCGAAATCTAAAGGTCGCTGGCTTGCAGCGGGTCAGCCTGAAGTGCTAAACACGCATTTGTTTTTTAAGTAGCATCTGGCCAGCCGGCAACTGTCGTGAGGGCTAATGTTCGTATCTAGGTAGGATTTGGCCAGTGGGCAACTGCCGTGAGGGCTGTACATATTTACGCGTGTTAGATTAGGTCAGGTCACGTCAGGTCAGGTTGGGTTTGCTTTGGTTTGGTTGGGGTAGAAAGAAGCATCTCCGGGTAGCGCCTCTTCTTGGTTGCTAAAACGAAACACGCGAGTGCCAGACATTCCGAAGTCCAAAAGAGAGTTACGTAGACGTCGGCCCATTCTGGATTTTTTATATGATGTAGCTTATTTATAGGAGAATAAAATATGTAAAAATCAGCAAAATCGAAGGGTACCCATTTTTCAGAAAATCAAAATTTATTTTTTGAATTTTAATTAAGTTCACTAATTAGTTAATTACGTCAATATTGTTATCCTAAAATTAAAGCCTGACCTATTCCCTCCATTTCACACTTTGTCTCGTGGTGATATGTCTAAAACTTCAATGGTTTTATGACGCTCTAAAGATGATAATGTGCCTTGCCTAAGTCAATGTTTGATGACGTGTATCTCGGAAACGTGACGTCAAATCTTGACAAAAATATGTCTCCATTCTTTTCACATATAGATGAGTAGTTTCACAAAGTTTCGTAAAAATCGGAGGAGGTGAGGTTCAAAATGATCATTTTTTGTCCCACTTGACGTGGAATGCCCCTGGCGCTGCTTCCGGGCTGCTAAACCGAGCGCCCGCTTTTGTGTCTGGCATTATTCTGAAGACGCCGTCGCTGAGAGACGCCGGCAGAATTTGATGTGGCGCCGCGAACACTCGTGAGGATAGCGGCTGAATCATTGTCTCCTCCTGGTGCCCCGTAAATCAGGAAGTGTCACGTAAAAATGTCACCCGAGAAGCGGCTCCTAACCAGCTGGTAATCATGACCAGAATTTAACGTCTCGGCTGGCGACAGATATAGTTGATTCCATGATGTAATGCTATTGCGCCTTGGCTTTGATCTAACCAGAACTATGTCGCTATTTCAGTGGTATGTCAGGCGAATTTAGCTCCTATCTCCTCTTCCTAGGTGGCACGCTCGTGCTTTGTCCGCACGTGTGCTCCATTTGGGGTCGGTATGACAGATGAGACCGTTGCAGATTTCAACCAGCGTATGGACCACGTGCGCTACCTGCGGCTGAGCGCCTCTCTGAAGGACTACCGCGGCAAGACGGCCCGTGCCGAGGCGGTGGCGGCTGCTGTGCACACGCCCTCCAATCTGCACCTGCACCTGGCCACCTCCACACACTTCCCTAAGGTGGGACGCTGCGGGTTTAGGGACCTCTTGATTTGATGTTATTAGACATCCGGATATAGGATGCTGTCGACTGGTTATTTGATCTGCTGTGCTTTGCTCCTTTTTTTTTGCTGCTGAAGAGAGTAGCTAAATAATTCTTAAGTTGCTTTGAAATAGCTGCACGATATTATTGAACCGCCTCAACGCTTCTTTGGAAGTTTGTGTCTTTAGTTTCTACTTCTGTGAACTTGATGTTATTTTCACAACATCGTTTGGGCTTATCTAATTTCCAAGCCTCTCAGAAGTTCGGCCGTTCCTGATTATCAAGTTCTCCGTGTGTCGAGTTGTATCGCCGAGGGAGGCTCTCTGTATTATCTGGGTCGTCCCGTGTTTTACCACGTCCGTAAATCACCCGAGGCTGGCGGCTGTGACAGCCCACTCACGGCCGTGGCGTGCGAGTTGAATTTCCAACTCCGAGTATAACCCATCACTCCGGCGATGTCAGATCTGACAGGGACGGGTCACGCGCTGCGACACCTCAGTTTATTGCTTCGTTAATTCCGTGCATTTTCTTCTACTAGCGCAATATTCGTTCGCATTATGACTCCTGATATCGATAATGTTTGATGTCAGCTCATCCACGCCGGAACCTGTGCCCCATGTGTCTTGTAGAACCTATATCAATGTCATATTAACATTTTCCTTTCCCTTATTCAAGTTCCTTGTCATTCAGTGTAAAAAAGAACTTTTTTGTTTGCCTCTCAGGTGGGCGAATATCTGGTGCTACACGTGCGCTGCAACTTCTTCATCGACCACTTCCGCTACGTGGTGTTCTCCAAAGGCATCCTGCTGGACCACGGCCTCGTCAAAATGAAGGTCAGTAGGCCTACTCCAGAATATACTGCATGCTTCTAGGTGAGCTCACTGGTATTTGCGTTTTGCCGTTAACTGCTCACCAACCAATAGCTTACAGAGATTGGTGTTCGTCAAGGAAGCCGAATACCGCGGACAGCTAACGTTTGCGGTTTTCCACTTGACTTTATCGATAATTGACTGATAGCAAATTTATTGCCAACTTTAAAATGCAGTGTGGTTGGAATGAGACTTTCTCAAGTTGTTGATGCCGCGGCTGAACTTGAAGCAACGACATTTTACCGCGTCGCGACGAAACACAAACTTCGCCACTTATCTACATTATTCAGCATCAGTTGACGTCGTCCTCCACACACGTAAACAACTGAACTTTATCCACAAACCTTAGCGCCTCTTCCAATCTTAACTTCTACCACGTCTCAGGACTCAGCTTGGGACGATGACACCAAAACTGACAATCTCTCTCATCCTCCCCTGTGACCCATGACCTGACCCGTGACCTGACCTCTGACCCACAGGCGCCGCTGCACACGTTCCCCATACCGGTGACACCCCAGATGGCGCCAGAGGCCACTGTGCTCATCTTCCACCTGACCCCGTACGGCCAGGTGGTCAGCGACACACTCCGCTTCCCCGTCTCCGGACTCTCCAGAAATAATGTGAGTGGAATTTTTCCAAACGCATTTATATTTTGTGCTTCAACGGCTGTAGGGTGGATGTCGTAGAAGGTAGTATCGAGTTTGGCCTTCTGCTGCGCCTGATTTTGTGTCTCAATGGTCTTCTTCGGTATTCATCTTTCTGACACTTTTGCGGTTTCCTATTGCTCGCTCTTCTGTTTCCTTTTATTGTGCATGACGCCCTTCTTGTATCCCCCAGGTAGGTTCTCGCTCCCTTCTGTTCCAACATCCGGTCTAGGACCACAATGGCTGTGTTACAACTTCATAGCGTCTGGGGTATTATCTGTTCCGGAACGGCCTGTAATTCATTCCACAGCCACCGCCACCGCCGCCACCGTTTCCTTTGAACTGCCACATTCCTGCTGTCAATACCAAGAATGCCCTCTGTCGCTCGATTTACCTCGCGGCGGCGCCAGTCTTTGACGCGGAAGGAGCGTTTAGCTGCTGCGTGGGGGCATTTTCTGTAACACCGCCGGCCGTGACAGAGGGGAGGAGGGGAGAGAGGGAGTCGTAGGGTGCCATGTGGCCCCATCGAGGGTGATGGATACGATTGGATGATTTGTTCGGGGCAGGGCCGGGTGGGCGGATACGTCAGTCGTGTGTGGTACGAGGACTTCTTCTCCGACCGGAGGACTGAGGTCAGGGACTTAGATACGACAAAAGGAGTTGGAAGTGTTTTGTAGTAGAACATTGAACCCTTTTTCAGATGAGCAGTGTTATCGGGTAGCTGTCATTCACTCAAGCAGTCGTGAACGGTTTTTCTAGGCTGTTTTACGTTCAATTGTGGTGTTACGTGAAAAGAACGAGGCATTCCGCTTTCGAAGTCGATCAAGGCTGTTTTATTTTGTTGTATTGTGAGGTTAAACGTTCCGCTAGCTGGTATTACTTTAACACCGAGTCTTGAAATCGACATCTTGTATGATGTATCGTTCGTCTGTCTTCCCACTCCTGTGTTTGCTATCCATCTCCTGGATGGCTTTATCAAGTTATCGCTTGAACCTCCGGTTCTACTTTGCTGCGCTGAATTTCTACCAGACATCAGCCTCTTACCCACTCCCAGGGGCGTCGCCGACGGGGGGGTCGGGGGGGTCGTGACCCCCCCACTCTTGAAAACTGGGGGTGTCGACCCCCCCCCCACTTTTTGCGATGCTGAGTATGCTTTTTTAGCTTTCATGTCAGTGAAGCAGGCGTCAGCAACACCAACAAATACACCAGTATAACGCCTTTTGGGGCGACTAACGGAGCGAGCGAGAGGGTGGGCCTTGCACGTGCGAAATTGCAAGGGGGTACCTCCAACTGACTTGTGCACGGCACCCTACTAACCGGTCTCTAGCGATGTGCCAAATTTGGGCACAATTGGCCCAGCCGTTCTCGAGATCTGGAAGCGGCACCCTGCACGTGCGCACGTGCAAAATGGGTCCCAACTGACTTGTGCACGGCACCCTACTAACCGGTCCCTAACTGTGTACCAAATTTGAGCGCAATCGGTCGAAGCCGTTCTCGAGATCTGGAATCGACCCCTGCACGTGCGCACGTGCAGCAGCACCCCAACTCTGGCACATGTATATGCAGTGCCTAGTGGGTGCCTACCTACATGCCAACTTTCAGCGCAATCGGCCAAGTAGTTACCAAGATATTGCAACAATTACAAAACGGACACCTCTTCGTATTGCACGTGGCCGGTGGCACGTGCATAAGGGGTCACCCACATGCATCAGGAATAGTCCAATACTTGGTAGAAGGAATGAAGCTACCCTACAAAAATTACCGCGTGTAAATCGGTCAAGTGGTTGCTGAGATATAAGCTTCGCAAAAGCGTGACCACGGCCGGCCGGCCGCTCATACTCAGAAATTTATGTTAATCTAAGGAAAGACTGCGCTCGCTTCGCTCGCTCCGTAATCAGATTCAGAATCAGTGGCGGCGGAATAGGGGGTGCAGGGGGTGCAGCTGCACCCCCATCGAAGAACATGGGGGTGCAAACATATCTTTTTGCACCCCCAAAATCCGTACAAGGGGCCCGTCGCACCATCCAATACATTTTCTCCTGAAAACCAGTGATCGGGAAACGAACACTGATGTGGAATCATCCGGGATGTCCAATTATGGTCAGGAGCGTCCCATGCTAGTCTTTGGGGCCCCCATACCGACCTAGAAGTGTCCCGAGCCGTGTTTGGTGCTCCACGCGGCATCTGAGGGCCCCCACGACGGCCTCAGAGGGCCCTTTTATGACGATCTCTGAGGGCTCCCACGACGACCTCTGTCCCCTGGGGCCCTACAACGGCCACTTAGGGCCCTCATGACGACCACTGAGGGTCCCACAAAGATTCCAGGGCCCCAAAGAGACTCCGGGGGCTACGCTGGCCTCTGAGGGCCCCTATATGACGGCCTCTGAGGGCCCCTATATGACGACCTTTGAGAGCCCTTACGATGATCTCTGAGGGAGGTCGTCACGACCACTAAGGGCCCTCATGACGACCGCTGAGGGTCCCACAGGACTCCAGGGGCCCCACTGGCCTCTGAGGGCCTCTAAGACGGTATCTGAGGGCCCTCGTGACGGCCCTAGACCCAACTCAAGTCTGAGGGCCCATTTGGCCTCAGACGGCCCAGCGACGGCCTCTGAGGGCCCCAACACAGCCAGACTGCAGGGGCTATGCTGGCATCTGAGGGCCCTACAACGGTCTATTGAGGGTCCTAACAACGATGGTCTCTAGCGGTCTTACCAAGGCCTCTGAGAGCCCTGCAAAGGTATCTGAGGGCCCATGAAGACCCTCACTATGGTCAAGGACCCTCATGACGACCTCTGATGATCCTCTCGAAGGCTTCACAACAACTTCTGAGGACCCCAGGACGGTCCCTGAGGGGCTGAGGGCCCTGTCGACGACCTCTCTGGGCCCTCACGATGGTCTCTAAGACCCAACGCAAGCTCCAAAGGCCCACGCTGGCGTCTGAGGGCCCCACGACGGCCTCTGAGGGCCTTGACGCAGGCAGGCTCCAGGGCCATGCTGACCTCTGAGGGCCCTCTTGACGGCTTCTAGGGCCTAACGAAGGCTTCAAGGGCCAACGCTGGCCTCTGAAGAACCCTACGACGGCCTCAGAGGGTCTCAACTCAACGCAGGCAGGTGCCAGGAGACATGCTGGCCTCTGAGGGCCCCACAGAGTAGAGATTCAGAGGATCCAACGACCTTTGTGGACCTTACGAAATACGAAGGTCTCCGAGAGCTCACGCAGGCTCCTGAAATTCCACACTGATTCTCAGGCCCCATGTCGGCTTGTTGAGGCACTTTATCTGCTCTTGGTGCCCCGTTGCCGGCCTCTGAGAGTCTCAAGTCGGAACTTATAGGGCCATGGGCCCTACACCGGCTTTTATAGCCCCTACATCGACTCTTGGGACTCATGACCCATGAAATGTGGGACTAAGCGGCTTCTAAGAATCCCCGTGCTGGTTCTAGTAGCCGCCAGCCGAATATTAGGGCTCACACGCGAGCTCCTGGGACCCCGTGCGTACCCCAGAGGTTTACATGCCTCTCAGACCCCACACATACTTTTGGGGCTCAAACGCTTGCCCCCGAAGGCCCCACTGAGACCCCTTTCCTCTACTTAGTCCTCCATGCCGGCTCTTTAGGCTAAACATCGGCTCCTGTGGCCTCCATCCCGGCTTTGGACTTGGAGGGCCTCCATACAGGCTTTTTTGGGGTCCGATGCCGGTTTCTGAGAGCCCTCAAAAGACTTTCGAGCCTATACTGCCTTCTGAAACATTTCAGCAACTTTCAAGGGACCGACCCTGATCGGAGGGCTCATTCAGTCTGGGGAGTCATGTAGGTCTCTGGACTGGAGGAGTCTCTATGTGGTCGGTTTCCAAGGGGGTTCTAAACACGGTCTTCTTGGAACGGTCTCGTAGGGCACTCAATGGTCCACTGCGGATCCAGAAAAGTGGTCTGAGACGCTGCGGGTGGTGACTAGACTAAAAGATTAACCGATAAACAACTAGCTGCATTTGCTTCTTTATGCTTTCATTATTTGAGATAGGTAGATAGTAGATACACTGCAATTTCAAACCTTTTACACAACTTGTGTGTATGGGGATAGTTTTCCAAAATCTGCATTTTTCATGAATCAATAATAATCACTAAAAAAACTGGAGGGGGGCCCAAAACTTGCAGAGGGGCCCCTTAGGAAAACTTTGCACCCCCATCCAAAATTACCTTCCGCCGCCACTGTTCAGAATCGCTTGAAGAGCTCCCTAAAGCCAATTAGCCAATTACCTAAAGTTCAATTAGCTGTGGGCGGGGAACACCAGCACAACAATACTTACTTTTAAGTAGCCACCATTCTAGTACCTTTTTATCCCTCAAAGGATTGGACGCGCCAAAACTGCCCCGAGCGTTCGTCTGATCGTTAAAAAAAAAAAATGGTCGCAGTCGATTCGTCGGATCAGTACCTAACTACAAAACTACAAACTAGCCTCAGCCCTATGGCTACCGTCACAACTAGCTGTACAGTGCACATGTAGGGGAAAGGGAGTCAGATGAAACCGTCTCGGGCTTTCGCAAAGAAGTCGCGCAAAAAGGAGCCGATTGCAACGAAACTTCCGGTGCGCTCGAGTTAATCACCTACTTAAAAATAAATCGATATCCCTGATTAAAATAAAGATGACCTTGGTTCACTTTTTAATAACATGCTTTTAATTTAGGTATAGGATAGTTTTTGGAGCTGATTTTGAACTTAGCGCCCATCTGAACATTTAAGAAGTAGTTGTGTTGCTTATACATATAACATGTTAGGAACTTAGGAAGCAATCGGTGGTGGTCATCCACTATTAGGTACTGGTCGATCTGACCTGACCTGATCTACCCCAAATGCATGGAGTCTTCATCTTCGTTCAAAACTAAGATAACATTCGTAATCAGAACCTCGAAAAACCATCACAACTTACATTCACAAAGTTCTAGCAGGTCCCGAGTTTCCCTACTTATTGGCGATGACGTGAGTCCTGAGATGACCCGAAACCTTGTAAATGGGTATCATCGGCTTTCTCTCGTCACGGGCAGCATGCTCTTTTTTTCCGCAAACCTCTAGATCGATCAGGGGTCGAAAGCATACCTCAGCGTTACTTTAGTATACGTTATACGTTAGCGACTGGGAACCCACCAATAGAAGGGCTACAGTGAAGCAGAAAGCATATTCGATAGCTCTTTCAACGCTCTTTCGCTAGCTTCGCGTCAGATTTCATCTCAGGTCTATGTTTTGCCCATAGAAGGCAAGCAGCTAACTGGACAGATTGTGCCGAAACATTTGCTTTGCAATAACTTAAGATTCCGTGAATTTGTATGGTATTTACATACGTTGTCTTGTCAGTTGTCACCACCGTGTTTATCTCTTTGAGACGCGTCACATGAGTTAAAATTTGACCATTCAGAATTAACGTTAAAACGACCTCAGGTCGACGTTATGTCCTGATCGAAAAAGGACCTCTTGCTGCATATGAATGGATCCGTGTTGTTGAGCTGAACAGTGAACACCTTCCAGGTGCTGTCATCGCTCTACCGCGTCTTCGTCAAAAGTTGTAGAAAAAAACAAATGCTGGTGGCCATCGATGGACATTTCCACTAATGACCTTTCGAGTCATCACTCGCCATAAGTTGCACCCTGTCCCTGGCAATGATGAGCTGATTTGACATGGCTCCAAAGATATTTTGCGTTTCTGACGAACTTTTTGAAAGCAGGAGGCATTCGTGCTTTTTCCAATTTCTGATTATTTTCTAATGATGAGGTCACGTATTTGACCTGCCTCCAGATCGATGTAAATCCTCAGAATCATGAATTGCTGACACGTACCTATAACCCCTTACATTAGGTATACAGTGTACCAAATTTCGAAGTTATGGGAGAAAAGCTACAAGAATGGCGAGAGGGTTAAGTTTGATAGAGGTATACCGTATAACTGAACTTGACATGGCGACCTGACCTTAAGTGACCAGTGATAATTTTTACGCAAGTGATGTAGGTAGGTATACCTACCTAATAGGTTATACCAAATTTCGCGGCGCTGCGCGCCGATTTGTTACACGCGCACACACACATACGCACGCACAAAACTGGGAAGTGTGGCAAAAAAAAAAACACCCCTACCCATCGGGTGAAGACTAGAAACCCGACCCCCCCACTCAAAAATCCGTGGCGACGCCCCTGCCCACTCCCCATCGAGCTGTCTCTTACCTCTCCATCTGACGCCCGCTCTAACCGGTTCCACAGTTCACGGTGTCGGTGGCTCGCACCACGCACCCGAACCAGCCCCGGTTCGGGGTCGAGGTGTCGGTCAAAGGTCGCCAGGGGGCCACCGTGGGCCTGGCCGCCTTCCAGTCGCACCTCTACCAGGTCGCCGCCGGAACAGACGTCTCCAGCTTCAAGGTATGTGGGCGCACCTGCTTCAGCGCGGATCATGAGCGTTGCGCATCCGGATTATCAGAAACGGCCAATGTCCATTTTGAATGTTGTGGGCTGGATATGGCATCATGACATGACCTGATTTTACCTGCCTATTAGCGAATCTTCTTGGCTGATGTCAGATGTTTATGTATTGGTATCGCCAAAGGCGCTTGCCACCGGCCATCGCCAACTAACGCTCACGCCGTCTTGTGTCCATTCCCAGCTGATGCGAGCCATGCAGAAGTTCGACCACAGCGCCTCTAGCGGCGAGTTTGCTCATCAGTGGACGACGGACGACGGCCTTCCCGGCCCTACCGTTCATCTGGCCTCTCACCGAACAGCATTTGGCTTCAACGAAACGCTCGAGTAAGAAAACAGCTTGTCGAATGATGTCATAGTTCTATTACGTAAGATATTCAGGGCAATTACTGAATTACGCATTTCTCAAATGGTGTCTTGGATTTGAAACCCCTTACGACCGCTTTCATCCACTCCTCGATAGTATAGTGGTGAGTATCCCCGCCTGTCACGCGGGAGACCGGGGTTCGATTCCCCGTCGGGGAGCTTTTTGTGACTTCATCTGTGATATCAATCACACTGAATCTCATCCATGATCCATCCGGGTGCGGTGCTATTGTTTGGTGCGCATGTATAGCTGTCCTCCCAAAAATGCTCCTTTGGTTACTTCGCACAACATAACGTTCTGTTTCAAGCTCATGCTCTAAATTTCATGCCCTCGAGGTACCTTTGCCCTCGATTTAGTTCATCCAACCTCGGACCTCATCAGTCATCACAGAACAGATTTATTTGAATAAGATCCACGATTACATGGCTTTTCACTTACTCGCGTCTGAATGGTAATACAATGGGAAGTTGGAACAGGCACACGGAAATGACTACAAACATTCGCATACCATGCATACACTCGCACCAGAAACGATATCGTGAATCAGAGAGATCCAGCGAACAGCCTGGCATCTGCCCGGAAAGACAAAGTGCCAGGCTCAATGCCGCTGTCGTTCAGCAGCGACACACCGCGGTAACAGAGTCGCCGCCTGCCGGCCTCCACACGGATGGCCGGAAGGGTAAACGAGTCCGCTCGCCTGGTGTTATGATCATACCGCTGGTGGGCTCGCTGTCCGAAGGTCTTAAGAAGAAAGTCCGGATGGCCTGACTTCATCGTCCGCTCGACTGCACACAAGGTATGGTAAGCCACCAACTGTTCGGCCGTGAGCCAGCCGAGGCTCGATATGGCACCCGAGATGTGATCACATCGCCTTTTCCCGGTCACGACACGTGCGCAGAAGTTGATGGTCTTCTGTACACGGTGCAGCTGTGTGCTAGTACAAGACCCATACACCGACATGCAGTAGCGCACAATGGATAACACTAGAGCTTCTGTGATGCCCTTTAACACAGGTCTAGGTATGACGTGACGTGCGTGACTTAGGGCTATCAGAATACCGGCGCACTTATGGGACATATTGTCTATCTGAGCCTCAAAATTTAGATGCCTGTCAAGTTGAACACCGAGGTTTTTAACTACTCCTGAGTCTGGAATGACATCTCCATTGAAGGTCAACGTCACAGGTGGTACATTGCGCAGCATTGAGGGGGTACCTAGCACTAACATCATCACCAGTCGCCTGACAGTCATCATTCACCCCCTTTTCCAGAGACTCGGAGCTGCTTGTGCTCACGGATGCCGGGGTTCCTCCGCGGCCGCCGCCACCTCCCTGCACTCTGGGGGGCCGGCGAGCCTGCAGGGCGGGCGGCTGTTACCCCACCTCGGCCCGCTGCGACGGCCGCTTCGACTGTGACGATATGTCCGACGAGTCAGGGTGTGAGTTGAATGGAAGTGGTGATAGCTTGTGGTTAGCAATTCACTCTGCTCAGGCACGATTGTTGGTTAGCTTTCCGTTTGGTGTGGAATTTTGTGGGTTGAGGGCTTTGGTATTGCTTTTTTGCCTGTGCTCTGCCTCTGACCATGCGGCTCTCAGTTCATATTCCACTGGAGGAAAACTTGGCTGAAGTCAAAACGCGTTCCCGCACCGGGAATCGAACCCGGGCCTCACGGGTGAGAGCCGTGTATCCTAGCCACTAGACCACGCGGGAGTTAAAGTCGTTGGCGCTCTGTCTGCAGGCGACTCTAGTCTTCACTCTGGCGTGGACGAGTTCCTGTTGCGGAGGCGGAGTCGGGTGCTGTCGGACTTCATGCCGACTTGGCTATGGCGCGACGTCACCATTGGCAAGAACGGGCACATCATCGTGCAGGCGGACGGGCCGAACGTGACGTCAAAGTGGACCGTCTCCAGTATCGGCGTGGGCGAGGAGAACGGTCTCGGCTACGTGCACACGGCGGCAAAGGTAGGGCAAACGATACAATTGTTGGACGTCTATTCACTTTTATTTCTATTCTATCAAAATAATTATGACACTAAAAAGATGATAAGCTGAAGTGCCACAGAAGTCACTTACCTGGAAAGGACACCCGTCTCCACAAACGTGCGGGCATCCGTCTTCCTTTCCTGAGCGCTCCCCGACTACTGAGCGACACGGAGCCTCCTCTGCCGCGCCGGCCAGACAAACTGTGCCCTCAGGGTGTCGTCTTACTGACCTGTCAGCCAATCACCGCTCGCGTCGTGCCCCTCCTGCCCCCCTCCCCCCCCCCCGCCGGCGATCGGATTCGGTCTCGAGCTGTGATGAGACGGTGTCAAATGGCACGCAGAAATACAACACCGTATCCGTGCGGCAGATTCAGACGTGATCAGGGTTTAGATAAACGAGGCTCGCGGTCCAACATCACTCAGGAATGAGATATCAGGAGTTGTAGGTCCGAAGACAGTAATCGGAGGGCGGGGGTCATCAGGTCAGAACTCAGAAGTCACTGCTCAGGGGACAGGAGTGAAAGGTAACGGGTCAAAATGTTTCCGTCATATGTTTTTTTTTCGCCGAAAACAAGGCTAGCTTTGTGTCTAAACGGTTTCCTCCTGTCCAAAAGTTTTAAAAATGCCAGCAGCGCAACTTCAATGACGTTAAGCGACGTATGACTCGTTCTGGACTGGTGGAACTTATGATGAGTTGTTATAAAATACGTCAGCAGCACCAATAAATGACCACGTGCTGCCGCCGTGCATTCAAGGTCATGTCACCGTCGACCATTTCCAGGTGTGGCGTTGTCTGCGTTCTACCCATAAGCTAAGTGCTCAACAAGTCGTCAAAATGACGACATGAGTAAGACGATATGGAGTCGTTCGTTAAGTGTCCAATCGCTCTTCAGTTCCCGAATGCAACTCTGCTATTCGTCAACAAGGTCCAACTTCCACCATCTATCAAACGGTGGCGGTAAAGCGCAGAGAGTGGATTGGTGCTATGTTATATCCTCTTGAGACCGGAAGAAAAGTTTACCAGTAGAAGAACACGGACTTTGGAATGTTTGCTGCTATAGTGGTGCAATTAGCATGTTTAAAGGCAAGGCGTTTGAGCTATGTATGCCAATACACATGCGCGGTAAACTTTATGCATATCATAGTATAAATCCGGACTAAAAACTTTGTTTACGCATGTGCGTCACCACCACTACGGACAGTGTCCGTACAGGTTTTGCAAGGTCCAAAAACTTGTGTGGAATGTCCGTACAAGTTGCGACGACCGAAAATGGACTTTTTGCATGATAAAGCGACAAGTGTTACCAATGTTGCTGGATTTATGTGAAGATCTCAAGATGTTTAAGCCTTTTTGACGAGGAAAGCAGGGGTCTTAATCACGTTTTACTGTGCACATCTATCAGCTAACTTGCTCTCTCTCTCTCTCTCTCAAATTGTGTGGTAGACCATACTCTTATGTCTAATTCAATATACCAGGGTAGGTATATTGAACCAGTATAACGCCTTTTGGGGCGACTAACGGAGCGAGCGAGAGGGTGAGCCTTGCACGTGCGAAATTTCGAGGGGGTACCTCCAGCTGACTTGTGCACGGCACCCTACTAACCGGTCTCTAGCGATGTGCCAAATTTGAGTACAATCGGCCCAGCCGTTCTCGAGATCTGGAAGTGGCACCCAGCACGTGCGCACGTGCAAAATGGGTCCCAACTGACTTTTGCACGGCATCCTACTAACCGGTCCCTATAGCCATGTACCAAATTTGAGCGCCATCGGTCCAGCCGTTCTCGAGATCTGGAATCGACCCCTGCACGTGCGCACGTGCAGCAGCACCCCAACTCTGGCACATGGATATGCATTGCCTAGTGGGTGCCTACCTGCATGCCAACTTTCAGCGCAATCGGCCAAGTAGTTACCGAGATATTGCAACAATTACAAAAGTGACACCTCTTCGTTTTGCACGTGGCACGTGCATAAGGGGTCACCCACATGCATCGGGAATAGTCCAATACTTGGTAGAAGGAATGAGGCTACCCTACAAAAAATACCGCATGTAAATCGGTCAAGTGGTTGCTGAGATATAAGCGTCGCAGAATCGTGACCACGGCCGGCCGGCCGCTCATACTCAGAAATTTCCGTTATTCTACGTAAGACTCCGCTCGCTTCGCTCGCTCCGTAATTAGGCCATGGACTATACATCGATCTGGAGACGATTGGCACCGACTTCACCGGCTTCAGAGGGCTTGCCCTCACACTGCAGAATCCGCAGTGCAGAATATGTGCCAAATTCAAAATTCTTATACATGCCTACGATGCTACTTGAACCTAACGTTGGAGTTCAAGTTCTTGTTCGCGTAAAGACAAAGAACCAAACCACTGTTTGCGCTATATCGGCACTGCTGAATGCTGCTAGATGGTCGAAGTTGTTGGCGAATAGCAGTGTTGCTTTTAGGAACTGAAGAGCGATTAGACACTTAAAAGATTAAAGATATACAACTCCATCGAATTAACTAAGCCGTTTTGAAGTGCACATGGCCTTATGGCCCATAAGCTATGGGCTGACCGCAAACACTATAAAGCCTCTGAATGGTCGACGGTGGCATGACATTCAATGCACGGCGGAGGCACGCTGTCCTTTTTGTTTGACGTTTTCTTGTGATGCTCCTTAGAGCAGGTATGTTGACTAGAGCAGGCATGTTGACAAGTACAACGTCGCTGCTGCTGCTGAGGTATTGAATATCGAACCCATCATAAGTTTCACCAGTCTAGTGCAAGCTCTACGTCGGTTAACTCTGTTGAAGTGACGCTGCTGGCATTTTTAAAACTTTTAAGGCCGCGTTCCCACTACGACCGTTCAACATCGTAAATTGCAAGAACGGGAGCAAACGGCCGAGATCGTTGATCTAGAGACTTTTCTAAAAAAGTTGAACACTTCCCTAGATCTGGTATACGGGGCAAGATGGGGAAACATCGTGAGACATCGGCAAACGGCTTGGACAAAGCCAGTTGAGAGGAGCGATGATGAAGGAGGGATCGGCACAATAAGCTATTGTAAAAATAATGTTCAGACTATAGGTAGTTGATGACTGATGTGGTAAAAGATCCCATGCAACTGAATGAATGATAAAATTAGAATGCCTTTTAAATTTATTAGCGTGTTAAAAGTACGCGAGCATTAGAAAATATATCAACAAAGCCAGCGAAAAGCATTCACAGCTGTGATAACGACAATCTATTGACTTTTGAAGCGAAAATGTGTGCAGTTGATATAACTCATTGTGGTTTTGCTGTGAATACCTTCGGGAAGCGGTAACCGATAAATTGCAAGTTCCGATGATTTCCTATCAGTTTATTATGGCAACCCTCGATAAAACATTTAGCAAGTTGAAGCAGGCTGCAATACAACTGAATTTGTCGACACAGGTTCAGCGATTTAGGTATACGAGTACCTACAAGTACCTATACGGAGCAGGCATTCAGCTTACAGCAGTGCCACAGCTCATGTCACCATCGTCATGTGACTACGCCATCTCGTCAGGCCATGCTAGAACTGTATTATAAAGGCAATTATAATATCAACTGAACAGACGAGAAGCACTTATGAGTTTAGCAAGGAAACTGACGCCGTGTGCTCAATGAAGACAAGCGAGTGTATTCGAGCACAGTTCACAGCAGATGGTGGCAACTGTCAACGTTTGTCTGACAGCTCTGCAGTGTGGCGTGGCATCACAATGCAGCGGTCTTCCAGAGGAGAGCTTGGCCTAAGCGTTTGAGATCCCAGGCCTATCTACCTGAATCTACGATGCAACTCTTGGTAGCTGGCGCGCAACCGGATGGCTTCTTTATCTGTCTCCGATATTCTGAGTTGCGGAGCGTTGCTACGAAAAGAGGGAGATCAGAAGTGCAAGTCGCACCTGTTCTGACTTAGCGAGGATCATTCGCTCAAGAGTCGCATGCGATGTGCATAACAAGGCCAGACAGCCCAATGACAATCTGTGGTAGTCCCAATCACATGGCGCGATCCAGATGGCCTTGATCCAGAAGACACTGTGATTTGTTTGAGCCTCGAATGAGGCCCTCAGTGACGATCCGACGGCGGAAGCTGCGTGTCTTGAACCGCTTGAGGTCATAAGTGAGCGACGACGCCGGTGGCCACGATGGTCAGAAACTCTGCCTTTAGTTTCACAAGAGCAAGTGCTGCTACGGCATGTATCGCTGTCAGATGATGTAAATAAACGTTTGTTATTTGCGCCGCATTTGCAGTGGCATGAAATTATTTGTAGGATTCTTATTTCCAGGCGCTGATGGTAGGTAAAATAATAAATTGCACTAGACCTACGGTAAATCTGCCGAAATGTTAAGTTATTCATCGCTACTTAGCGCTCGCCTTATACATCTATGTATATAATTATAGTTATGTAGCTTTTATCCGCAAAAATGCACCACCTTTCATGCCTTGCTGCTTGACGTCTCACTTTGAATATCAAGAAACTTCCCAAAAATGGCTTCCTGCTCTATGCACTGCCTAAAAATGCTTATTAGTGTCATTTAATAACTGCACAAACCTTCAAGAACGTTCAAAAAGTTGAACACTGTTCAACTTTTTGGCGACCTCACCAACCAACCAACATGGGGAGCAAACTTTCAAAACCTTACAAATGCCTCCACCCGAAAACACGTGTCAAATACCCGGTTCCCACCACCACCGGCAGAGATCGTAAAAATGCATGCTGTGATTTTGCCGATCTTGCCGGTTTTCTCCCGTTATTTTACTTTACGATATTGAACGGTCGTAGTGGGAACGCGGCTTAACAGGAGGAAGCCGTTTCGACACAAAGCTAGCCTTGTTTTTGGTGAAACTTTCTAACCGAAATGCAGATTCGTTTTCTGCGAGTGGAGCCGTCGCAGCGGGGTTCGCCGGCCGGCCGTCCTGCACCTGGGGACACGAAGCGTGCCGACGAGGAGGACCTCGAGCTGCCGTCCGGTGCCTGTCGCTCGTTCGTCCGCCTGCTGAGCACCGTCGGCCTGTCGGCCGGCCGCGGCTGGACTCCGGTCGTCGGCGCGCTGCTAGCCTTCGTCGTACACTCCAGCATTGGATTCTTCTACATCTATTTGGGTTTCAGATCGTTCCAAGAGGATCAGCACGCTGGGAAACCGTTCTTCACATCACTGTTTCACTCGAATTTCATGGGCATCCCGCAGGCACTGATGTACGTTTCTGTGGTGCTGTCGCTGGCCGTGGGCCGGCGCCGCTACAGCCGTGTGATGTCCGACCTCTCCCGGGTTCTGAAGGAGCTGGAGCTGCTGCCGCAGCCCGTCACCTCGTGGCTGCGACCGAACAGCATCGGCACGGCCATGTGGACCCTTACTGCTGGCCTGGTAGTCAGCTTTTTCGCCACTAAGATTCATGCCACCCTGTGGATGTGCGGAGTGACAACACCGCCGGCCGATGCATATAAGGAATCGTGCGCAGGGTGGCTGGCGCTGACGTTTGGTCTCGCCTTCTTCAACATCTCATCTGTCGCTTTTGTCGCCATGAAGTTTATCCTGGCCGGGCTGCTGCTGGCGCACGGTCTTCAGCTGGTGAACGGTAGACTGGAGGCTCTGGCCGCCGCCGCCGCTGCCGCTGACACCGCCACCACTGCTGATTCAGCTGCTGCCGCCGCTGAGGCTGGTGTCACCTCTGTGGACGCTACTGAGGCTGGTGTCGCCGCCGCCGACGTCGCCGAGCCGCCGCTGTCTGACGAGGCCGAGCTGCGTCGGCTCGGTCGGCTGCACCGCCGTCTGTCGGACGTGATGACCAGCCTGTGCTCGGCCATGTCCCCGGAGCTGACGATGCTGATCGCGGTGGGCGTGCTGTCGCAGGTAATGCTGGCCGCGCTGCTCTTCTCCACTGTGCAGGACATGGGCTGGCTGCTGCGCTACCTGCCACTGGCGGCCGTCTCCATGGGCGGACCGTGTGAGACCTGCCAGCAGCTGCTGAACCGGCTGGACGCCGGCCGCCGGCTGCTGCTGCGACTCGAGTGGCACCGCCCGCAGCTGGCCGGCACGGTCGGCCCCCTGCTCAGGAACATCGAGCACGACCTGGAGACGGTCGGCGACCTGGGCCTGTTCCGTCTGCGGCGCTCCACCCTGCTCAGCGTCTGGTCCACCATCGCCACCTACATCATCGTGGTGGCGCAGTTCAAGATGTCCGAGACGCCCTGATCCAGTGCTCCGAGATACATACACATTACACAGCGCTTTGATTCACATTGCCGTGATGAGAACGCCGTGATGTACAGATATTGCGGGCGAGGCTGGCATCACAGCCAGCCATGAAGCTGCTTGAATGTGATTGAATGTGAACTATATAATAGGTACTAGCTATATTAATCATTACGTCGCGTCAATGGAACTCATTATAGCTTATTGTTTTTCGGTTGTTCATGGGGGGAATTAATCGAATTTAGTTTTGGTTTCCGAAGGCTTGTGATATGAGTTTTGTGAACAAGCTTTCGAATTTGCAGTGCCACGTCTGCAGGTTTATGCCTTTTAACAAGACTGATCACTGCACGTCATCATGTTGTATTGCACCATAAGCCACCATAGATGTCAAGTATATCAGACAGATAAATGTCAGACAGATAATAAATCTACCAGCTATTATCTATAATGCATATCGTAGAGAAAGCTTATGAATAAATGAAAAAACGCACTGATATCTTCTGTTTCCATTGCCATGTGAAGCGAATAATTCGCACCAACCTGCTAATGTTTGGTATCGCAAAGACTCTGGTAGCCGCGACCGTCTAAGTAGTTTACCCGCGGGCTGCGGTGGCGCACCCTGGCTGTCCCTCTCCCCTCCCCCCCCCCCCTTCCCCCGCTCGCTCGTCGGTCACGGTCGCCGACAGACCGCCGGTCGTCGGCCCGTCGGTCGTCGGTGGATGTTGGCTCAGAGTTTGGCGGGGACGGGTAGGGGAGGAGTCCGTGAGAGACGTCTGGTCCCGCTGGGAACGATGGTGACTTGGCACGGGGTGACGGGAGAAGGAGCTGTGTGTCCTCGTAGTCACAGGAATAGCTACTCGATGTCTTATCAGATCTGTTATCAGTATTTTGCTCACATTGGTTTTTGACAGTTGGATCGGTGTTATTAGTAATGTACGGTTCCAATGGTTGGTTAATTTATGACCACTTGGTAATGAGTCCTACCGACGTGCGTCGATAAAAACGCATCTGTTGACCTGAGATGCCTACATTTTGCTACCGTATAGCCTCCACTTGTTCCTCTCATCCCTCTCGCCAGTACTCGCGGTGTTCCAGTGCTTTCCTCTCAACTCCATTTCTAGGTACTCTGCAATGTACCACTAACTCTCCCTCCCCGTCTCTCCAGTACTCAGTGACCCGTCAGCTGGAGGCCGCCGCCAGCCTGCCCACCGCCTGTGTGCTCGGGGAGCAGCTCGGCCTGATAGTCACCCTCCGCAGCAGGGCCAACAGCAGCGTCACCGTCAACCTGGTGCTGGCCAAGTCGCCCCGCTACCGCTTCGTCAGTCTGGCAGAGTTCGGAAAACAGGTTAGAGCCCCTGTGAATAATCAGCTCACACAGGGCAATGCGTGGAGTTTGGCCTTTCAGCGCAAGATTATTTGACTGGTAGCGAAGGCATTTGATAGCGTAAGGTTTAGCGTCAGCTTTTCACCCTCGCTAACGGTACCTACGATTATACTCGTAGGAATGCATTTGTAATGGCGTATCGTTGACGACTTCTAACGATGTAAGAAGATGAGATTTATGAGGAAAGATCTTCAGTTTTCCGCCTCACTCCCGGCCCTGACACCGGTACCGGTCCGCTCAGCCGGGCAGCGTGCGCCGCTCGGATGACGCCCTGGTAGAACACCGCACCGCCGTGGCGCTGGCAGCCCGGCAGACCAGGACCGTCACGCTGCCCGTGGAGCCGCTGGTCACGGGCACCGTCACCGTGACGCTCTACACGGAGCACCAGGGTGTCAAACACTTCCTCAGGGAGACGGTCTCCGTCAGGGTGAGGATGGGGCGGGGAGGGAGGTGGGAGGGGAAGAAGGGCTTTGTGATTGCGGGTCGACGTAGAATATTTGTCTTGTTTGCTCTGTAATATTTAATTTGCTAAATAAAGCGACAAGGGTAGGTAAATCAGGTAATTTTAGAAATATGTTCTAATAATCTCTTTATTCTCTTCTCTTTATTCTCTGATTAATGGTCGCCGGCATGCGTTAAGTCGTTAAACACGGAGTATTTAGTGATAAGTCGGTATATTTTCGGTTGTGCAGCATTATCTATTTATATTGTTCAAAAGTCGTGATATTTTCGTCAAAAGTATCAATGGGATAAATTATTCGGTTTGACCGACATCATCTGCCCTCTCCTCTGACGATCTTTCCCTCCATGGAAATAGAGACTTACCCCCCCCCCCCCTCCCTCCCGTCAGCTACCCGGCGTACCCTCGGAGGAGCACACGGTTCTACTAGCGGACGTCACGGCCCGGCCGTACCTGTACCAGTTCCTGGACGTACCGCGTCCCCATTTGGTGGTACCCGACTCGTACCACGCCACCATATCACTCACCGGCGGTGTGGTCGGACCGTGGGCTGATGCAGGTACGGCATTGGACTGAGACGGGATGGTGAATGCCACTTGAAATCGGTACAGAGTGGGCGCTGGGCGGGACCTGGCGATAATATTTTAACTGTAATTGTAATTGAAGTGATTTGCCGGTGTGCGTTGGTTTGCTTATCTTATGCTGTAATGTTTAAGTCAATATTTTATCATGTCTCGGAGCCAAGCCAAGCTTCGTCCCACATATGTGCACGTTTCAACAACCAAGCACAGTTATATTCACGAACCGTTGTCTCCTAAGTTGCCGAATACTAGGGGAGAGTGGTGCAGGAGGCCCCCCCCCCCCTTTAGCTCAGTTGCTATTCTTAGACAACTGATAATATTTAAGAGCTAACGTGTGCATGCGCTGTGTGCATGCATCATTTTCCCATACATATTTGCATTCAAAATGAATCTAGGGGGTACACAAACCGTAAACTTTAACATTTTGGAAAAAGTTGCAAAAGGGCCTCTTACACTATGGGTATGGTAAGAAATAAATTTGCGTTTTACCCCTCGGGCGTTTTACAAGTCAAGTCGACTTGTAAAAGACGCTTTGCGAACACAGCTGCAAGGCCTTTTATTTCGAAAAGCTAAGCAAATACGGTGTTATCGAAACCAATAACACTTCCAAAGCGCTCACACAATGCGAAAACTAGCACAACCAAACGCTGATGACCAACGAAAATTGTACCTATTACCTCTAAGAAAGGAAACAGAAAAAAAAGAAACAAAAACAAACTCCTTGAAAAAAGAATGCCACGCCTGCCGCAGGTGCAGGCGTTTTAGCATCGGGGGCGTTTTTTATCGGGGGGGGGGGGGGGCGTTTTATCATCCTCGAAGGGAGGGCCTCTTAAAAAATGCAGTGTTTTAACGTCACAATATTTATGGTTTATGAGACATTTGCAGCGCACCAGAACATGGTCTATTCTGAAGCTAGCATGTGACAATTTCGATGAGATAAGATTGCATTTGATAGCCATTGTTTTTTTTTCAGATATATAAGGGTGATAAAGATGCATATATCTAGCAAGTAAAGGGGCAAAAACAGAAACAGGCTTACCAAAAGTCGCTGCGACGCACCTGATACCTCAGGTTTCGTGAGTTGTTGTTTCAAGAGGGCTTCTGCTTTACAAGAACATTAAAAAATAAATAACATTATTGGTTTGGTAAAAAAGCGATGGGGCCTCTTACCGACCCTGGGCGTCTTACACGGATCTCTCCTACCCTTCTGCTCCACAGAGGACCTGCCCACCGCGCCGCGGACCGCCGACGCGGCGCTCAGCCGCCTGCTGATGACGCTCTATGAGATGACGTACCTGGCGCCGGAGCGGCCGCGCGCTGACGCCCTGATGAGCCGACTCTCCACTGCCTACCAGAGCCTGCTGACCTTCCGGCGAACGGACGGCGGCTTCGCGCTGTACAGGTGGGGGAGAGGGAGAGGGTTGTGAAATGTGTGTGATGCTGCAAACACTTGTCAATGAGTGTTTGAAATTCCTGGGATGACGTGAGGAAACTTTCTGAGAGTGTGAATATGCAGTAGAAAATGAATTTTGTTAGTGTAAAGGAACCGTTTTACGCATAGCTGGCATTTGCGTTGAAGCCGAACGCGCCTCCACCCACCCACTCCTTGGAGGTCTTCTTTGCCGTATATCATAAGAGGGACGTTTAGTGAACTCACCGTCACCTTTCCGTTTTCCCCAGCAGTGACCAGCCGGGCAGTATCTGGATGACCGCCCATGCCACGCTGGCTCTGGCCAAACTGCGCCGATCGCCGCGCCGCCAGCGGTCGCTACTCGACACTAAGGTTCTCTCCAGCGCCGCTAGGTGGCTGCTGCAGGCGCAGCAGAGCTCTGGTCTGTTCCGAGAAGAGACCGTGGCGGCTGACCAGCGGTACAATGATACCGGTGACGTAATGCTGACGTCACACGCGCTGATGGCGCTGACCGAGGTGGCAAAACTGCAGGAGGATGAGGATGCGGATATTGCTGATGGCTTAGAGACACTGGAGGTGCGTGGCGCTTTTATTCTACTGCAGTGATCAGCAGCAGCAGCTGCCTTGATACGAGAGTTGTGTCATTTCCTTTCGAACAATCCCGATTTATTGCCATCGGGAACGACAATTGATGGTCTAGAGTAGAATGATGTTTCGCTCCGCAATTCTGCATCTACAATGCTCTTGTGAAGAATCAAAGTAGCGTCAGTCTGCCCGACAAGCCCAGTTTAGTGCATTTAGGTCGAAATGAATGATCTTTGTGCCTTTCCAAATCAAGCTGCCCTGTACATTATTGTCTCCAAGGGCCGATCTATCCACCTCCCCATGACCTGCCCTCTCCTCCCTCTCGGCAGCGTCTGGCCGTGCCGGGTCTGGCCGAGGGCGTGGCCTCCGCCACCGGTCTGCTATCTGTCCGGGTCCGTGGCTCACTGACAGCCCTGCAGGCGGCACTGGCGGCCCTGGCGCTGGCTGGTGGCGGCGGCCGGGCGGCCAGCGACGCGCGGGAGCTGCTCTCCAGTCAGCTCAGGGATGAGGGTGAGTGGGGAGAAAAGGGGTGAGGGTCATAGAGGTGGGATGGGTCATTGAGAAGAGGGGTATTTCGACGGGGAGAGGGAGTGCATGTTTATGTCATTTTGCAGGGGACATAAGGCTTGGCAGGGCATACAACTGTCAGGCTGTTGTTGCTTGACCGTTTTCAATGAATTGTCAATTGTGATATTAATTATTCTCGCTTGTTATTGGCCGAGAGAAGTGTGGTATTTACGTCTTTGTTTTCCACTGTGGCCACGTGCAGTGATTAGACCATTCGAACGTATTTTCAATGAATATCTAGACAGAGACGTCTCGTTTAGCCTTCTTCGTCTTTCGGTCGCTAATTCGTGCCTCCCTACGTTCCAGGCGAGTTTATGTACTGGAGTCGCGAGCCGCACCCGCTGCCGGCCTACCGTCTGGAGGAGCATGTGCCGTACCTGCAGCCGCGGCGTACCTTCAGCCGCGAGTCGGAGAACGTGCTGACCACGGCGCTGGCGCTCAGGGCGTACGTGGCCCTGGGTCAACACCGCACGGAGCCCATCGTCCGCTGGCTACAGGCCAGGAGGGCAACAGACTTCGGCTGGATTGGATACATGGTGGGTGACTGGAGCGGGCTGAGGGATCATTGGGTAAAGCACTACTTGTCGAAACATCTTGCGTACAGAAGGTATGGGACGAATATAAGAAAAGGTGATTGGTAAAACTACCGACTACCTATTACGTAAAACTACTATTACGGATTGTGTTTGCGATTACGGAGGCCTCGTGAACGGTGCTACGGAAATAGCAAAAGCTCCCCGACGGGGAATCGAACCCCGGTCTCCCGCGTGACAGGCGGGGATACTCACCACTATACTATCGAGGAGTGAGTGAGAGGGGTCGAAAAGTAGTTCAAGGTCGAAAAGGCTGTTTTGTTCGTCACTGATAGCAATTTTTGTGGACACGTGGCTAACCTGAGGGATGTTCAGGTTCACGGGCACCGCACACTGCTGCGTGCGGTGTGTGCGGTGCGTCCAGCAGGCGTGGGGGTAGGGGATGGGTAGGCGGCTCTGACGTCACGGCTGCGTGCGGTGGACCGGGTCCGCTGTGGCCAGTCCCGACCGGCCACAGCGGTCGCTGTGCCTGTGTGCGGTGACGGAAGGCTGACGTAGGGACGCAGTGGGCGGAGCTTCGAGGCTGTGTGCGGTCCGACCGCACACAGAGCCCGTGAACAGCCCTCTGCTTTATATTTATCTCTTTTTTTTTGTATGGTTTAAAAGACTTCTGATCCCTTGGCTCCCTCCCTGTTTTCAGGACACCCTAGCGGTGACGGAAGCGCTGATGGACTACTCCAAAGCGCGGCACGTTCAAAAGGAGGCGGACATTCAGATGGACGTGGAGACGGCCGGTGGAAGGGACAGTTTACACACGCACGACCAGACGGCCGGCGCTCGGCAGGAGCTGCAGGTCGGTGGCAAATTGAATGATATGGTACCGGTTGGTTGAGCGGGGTGGGCCGGCCGCTGACGGTTTGCTGAGGCTCGGGAGACGTCTTTCGATGTGCTTAGGCATTGAACAGTCTCGATGTCGACTGTCGATAATAGAATACCTGCGCTTCATAAGGTCCGACTCTTTTTTTTGTCGTGCAACGGAACGCATCTGCTGACCGGTATTTGACGACATATCTGAGACTGAATTTCCTCAAAAAGCTCCCTCACCAGCTGTCTACATAGTTGCATACGTTCACAACTCAAGTCACCGTATATGACCGTCTGACCTCCGTGACCTCACCCTGACCTCCCTGTTACCTCCCCCGCAGATCACGGACCCGAGCGAGGGTCTGACCTCATCCTGACCTCCCTGTTACCTCCCCCGCAGATCACCGACCCGAGCGAGGGTCTGAAGCTGCGATTCACCGGGTCAGGGGTGGCCCTGGCTCAGCTGAGCGTTCAGTACCGACTCTTCTCTCGGAAGGAGGAGGGTGACATTTTGCTGGACGTGGACGCGGGTCACCACAGTCCGAACGGATCGCACGTCACCATCGGACTCTGCGTCAGGTCGGTAGCCCGGAGACGGGTTGTGGAAGCTGATCTTGGTCGAAATAATGTGATCGTATTGGAATATTTTCTTTGGGCTTTGGTCGTCATGACACATGCCACAAGACTCGTGTATTCGTATGAACCGTCTACTTAAACTTAACTTTTGTGAACGAGTTGTCAACTATGTGCCAACGCCCAACTTATGTGGAGTTAAGTTCAGAAAAGCGCATTTTCGCCAGTATATTTCACACGACTGGACTGTCTAACCTCTCTCTCCCCTCCCCCGTTCCCAGACTCTCCGACCTATCTGAGCGTCGCGTCTCGGGCGCCGTGGCCGTACTCGCTGACGTACCCTCGGGCTACGGCGTGTCAGCGGCGGCACTCCGTCAGTACGTACACAGCGGGGCCGTGCCGCGACTGGTGGCGGCGGAACTCACCGCAGCACATCGACTGCAGCTCGTCTTCAGCTCGGTAAGAGAGAGGGAGGGAGAATGGAAAAGTGGATAGATATATTAATGGAGAATGGGAGAATGGGTGGGGAAAGGGGGATAACTGATTAGAAGATAAGAAATGATTGCTTAGTTCAGACTTCAGTCCTCATCGATGATGATTCAGATGAACACAGCGAAACAATCAGATTCGCATATGCAGGGTCCTCAAATCAATTATTGCACCAGGCACCAGTGTCCAGAGACATATTAACATGCGTTCGGGAAAAAGGTTGTTTTAGCCATAAATTGACTTCCATCGATATAATAGCAGTGACATTTTTACCCCTGTGTCTGTCTCGTTCCAGCTGGTCTCAGCGCCGGTGTGCGCGCGCATCACGGTAGTCCGATGGTTCGCCGTGACAAACATGTCCCGCAGCCTCTCGGCAGAGGCGTACCCGCTTCATGAGCCCGGTCAGTGTGTGACTGTGGGCGGACGGACCGTTTCGCCGCTGATGGTGTCGTGATTATAAACGATCGTAACGGCATATGTTTGTGAATGCATGTAAATGCATGCAAGTGAACGGAGACGGATACGTTGACTGTTCAAAACTGATTCGTGTTTAGTATAAGTAAAGTGAATTTCTTACCAGTAAGTCTATTGAGTCTGTTTGGACCTTAGCGTCGATGTTCCTCTTAACTGATCTTGGTATCACGATCCGATTCATTTCGGTAACATGCTATACTCTGAGCGAGAATCGAATGCCGAACTCGCGTAAGTCCGCACTCCTCCAACAGCCAGAGCCTTTCCCCGCTGACCGCTGACCGGTTATCGTCGGTCCGTTTCAGAGCGCCGCTCGTCGGCCATGTTCGACGTCTCGGAGCTGTCCCGGTACGGTCTGTGTGACCTCTGCGGCAGCTACCAGTGCGGCGGGTGCACGGCCTCCAGCCGGACCAGCAGCGCCGCGCCGACCTCGGCACCACTGGTGACCCTGCTGGTGACCCTACTGGTGACGCTGGTGCTGCCAGTGATACCTGCGAGGGTTTGGAGGTGACTGACGGAGCTGTGACCGGCCGCGAGGGCCTGACTGCCCAGAGAAGGGACCCAGCTATGCAATGTCGATGGGGTGGCGCAAGGAAGCGTGCTGTGCCCTGCACTGTTCGTGATGTCCAAATTCCCTGTCGACGGGACAGTGTTCGGTTGCTCGCGGGTCTGAATGTTTATCGGCGTTTTGTTGCGGCCGCCGGTGCCGCCAGGCGCGGCGGCTCACGTCGGGCCGACAGGGACGTGCCAAACTGAGTTCGAGTTGCTTCGTTTTTGTTACCGTTTTGCTCAGAGCCGCGCGGACACCGCCGTGCGATGTCGCGTGTTTTGGTGTCACTGCCGTCGCCCTGTTTCAGAATGCTTGCTTTGGGTTGCACTGCCAGTTGACGACGAGCGTGCTGGGTCCAGGAGGCAACACGTTTGTGACTCTCCCGATCGGGAGATTTCACGGTCTCAGAAATTTCCAGTTACGTAAGCGGAGAGCTGCCTGTTGTGTGAGCGATTTCGGCGAGGTTGGTTAGATGCGATTTATGTTCGATCGCACCGAGTGAATCGAGAGATGTGTATGGCGAAACGAGAGCGCACGAGACGCGAACATGGATGTAATCTAGTCAATGGCGACAGCTACTGAATGTGGGCCGGGAGAACTGTGACGTAACTTTTCTGGTGACAGCAGCGCCTGGTCAGCTGTAAAGCTAGTATTTATTGATTAGCCGACTGTACAGATACCGATGATTATTTGTATACGTGAATACAGCCAAGTATGCCATGTTGTTGTCGTTTGTAGACATCCGTCGCTTAAACGTTCCAACATTATTGTGAGGTGTAGGTATTGCGAGCGTGTGCTTTTCAGCGACATTCGGAGCTTGCTCCATGTGGAAAGGAACGGCTGCCTACACGACACGACCTCTGTCGAGACTCGTTTATTTGCCACCCTCAAACCTCACACTGTGAATGACAAGCTATCATTGACTTGTAAGGCTTAAACTATAAGCTGCACTCGGCTTCTTGATTTGTGACTGATCAATATTATTTTACCCCGCCTTCGTCCTTCGATGTCTCGGATGGCGAAGATTCTACGCCGTCCGGCCAATCCCGTTCAAGGTCAGCGGGGGCTTGGCTGCGGGAATGGAACGGGATTGGCCGGACGACGTAGAATTTTCGTCGCCCGAGAGACATCGAACGCGGTGTCAATGTCATTGAAAGCTGACACTGTATTCCAGCAATGCAATAAGACATGTAAAATATATCCTTTTATTTTAGTGGTTACAAGTTTTTGGCCGTTGTGGTCATTTGCTCCGTTTATGGTGCGTAAGAGACAATCGAGTTTTACCTACATTTCATTTCATATGATGATCAAGATGCTTACGTCATCAGACATCATAGCATTCTATTTGTGTAGTTTTGATGTTTTAACTAAAAATTGCACTTTGATAAAGATAAACAATAATGTTTTGAGAGTTTATGATCTTAAATTGAATAAAACTTACCAGTTAAGGGATTAAATGAAACATTTTTGACAAAAAGACGTCAGCAAATATGAACACGTCACACACTAATTTGAAGTGCGTTGTCTCGTGCGGTGAGCTTTGTTTACGTAGCATTATTTTAGCAGACCACTGATACGACTTCCGCATCAGATATTTTCAATTAAATTTTTATTTGGAGCGTGTGGCTGTGATAATTATTTCGTTGTGGTTCTAGTTCATTGATGTTCATTGTAATCTAGAGATACTGATATTGCCTTCAGTGATCGATTGTGTTATTCAAGTTGATATCGCCTGCCTTTGCCTTTGGTAGGTACCTAAGTTCATAGTTATGTTTTTTGTAAAGGTATTGTTGTTAACTGGGCCCTGTTTCACCGCCGCCCGACGCTGCACGCGCTGCAGCACACTGAAAGCTAAGGCATACCATGGATTAGAGATTTCCTGGATCGGCAACTCTCCGTCGGCGCCTTTGATGTAAGCGACCACGGCTGGCCACCTAGCGGCGGAGTGGTGAAGCTTGGTGAGATAGGACGGCGGAGGGTTGGGCGCTAATCCCTGTGGTAAACTGCGGGCCAAGATCAATCGAATTTGGGGATTGAACGGCTGGGTGCGGTGCGTTAAAACGAAGTTATGGTGTCGGGAACGTCCAGTAAGTCCATATTGTCCTCAACGAAGTAATCGGACCATTGGGGTAAGAACATTTTGTCTCGGCAGAGGACGTGCATACGAGTCGCCAAGCTCTTATGCCGGCGTAAAATGCACGCATCACCATCTTTTGATAACACACTGTTCCATCTTTTCCATCCTCAGGATAGTCAAATCCTTTTCCTCCACGCCTCAACCCCCTGATCCGGGCTGGACGGGCAACTTTATCCCATGCGGGCAGCTCCGCCAGAGCACACCCGTAACCGGGTGCATAGAGTACATACGTACAGGTCTCGCGGGTTTTAGCGGTAGGTTTTGCACCTAGAAAATTTAGTGTACTTCAGGCTATATCTTCGTCGTCTTAAGCTTTTAAGTGTTGAAGATGCGATCGACTTGTTGGGTAACAAGCCGGCCATGATCGTGTAAAATGGCTTCATCGTAGATCGATTAGTTTCTGAGATATAACCGGAAATGTAAAAGTGCAAAACCTACCGCTTAATCTCGCGAGACCTATACCTACTTGGGAGGCTGGTCGGCCCGTCCATTCGGACGGGCTCAGCCCCGGCGGGCGGCGACTCACTAGAGTGCCTGCCAAGACCAATGTCTCCCCTAATTCTAATCATCATAGGCGGCGGAACGGGGGGGAGTACCGTACCCCCTTTGATTTTGGCATTTTAACATTAGCCCCATGGGCGTTGCATGGAAAGAATGGGATCAAAAGTCGGCAGTTCCCCTTAATTGAAGTTGTCTCACCGCCACTGCCTATCATCGTTCCGGCTCTGAACTGGTCTCGTCAGACCGAAAGGGCCTAACCCAACAAAACAAACAAAGAAACAAATCACTTCGCCTATAAAATAATCTCGGAGCCGCGATTTCCGCACTAACGGGCTCTTCTTACTTCAGCACGTCAAATGCTATATTCTTTGCTTGGTGGATGAATACCTAAGGTCAACTCGAGTGTGGACCTCAGGTCAAGGTCAGTCAGATTAAAGTCACTAAGGTCACGAAGTTGGTTGAAGGAGGTTGTATTGCATACCTATTATTCGATTCAATGGTCTTCCTGAGTCCATTGATGGCTTTTGCGACTCGCTAACTCGATTTGATATCATTTCCGGCGCCAAAATAACAGTTTCCATAGTTCCCCGCAATGACATAGAGGCTTATAATGGTGAGGTCATGTTATGATGTTAGCGACCTGACCCCAGGTGCCCTTTAAGAAAAATCCAATATATACAAGTAAAGAGGTCTTTGGAGCAGGGCTGCGGAGTCCGGAGTCGGTCGGAGTCGACAGTTCTGACCGGGGCCGGAGTCGGAGTCGATTTTGCGAACCGGAGTCCCGCCGAAAATCCATCGACTCCGCAGACCTGGCAAGGCTGCAGAGTCGGAGTCGAAGTTGAAGTCGGTCGGAGTCGACAGATCTGCCCGGGGTGGGAGTAGAAGTGGGAGTCGGAGTCATCGAAAATCCATCGACTCTGCAGCCCTGCTAAGTTTCATCTTCCAGTGAAAATCGTCTGGCACTGAGGGCGTTGCGAAGTTGCAGCACTGAACTATTTTAGGACCGTGCAGAACGGCAGAGGTTTACGTATGACGTCATAGGTCAGTGATCTGACCCGACCTGAAAATGTGGTTGATTTCACAAGATCCGGCTTGAATCAAAGGCCTGGTGTTCCAAGTTTCAGCTCTTTATCCCCAGCGCCATACGATCAATCGCGAAAAAAACCGTCAGAGTGGGGCGACGTCGACCCGCCCCCCTCCCCGTCGGCCCCTCCCCGTGTTAAAGTTAAATCCTTCTCAACTCATAAAGATTATGAAAAACAGTGCCGTTATCCTTTATCAGTTGAACTTCGAAGATAAACTGCTCAAAAACCACCCAACCACCCCGTCCCATCATTGGAACGCATAGCCGCCAAACACCGGCGTCCTATCTGGAGTTGGCGCATGCGCACTGCGATATTTGGTCGCGAATCGAGGGAGAGTTGCCAATCCAGTAAATACTTCATCCATGGGCATACCCCTGACGCCACTTGAATGACGATGTGGTGACGAAAACATAACAAACCAATGACAAATGACGAAAACATAACCAAAAACGAAGCAACTCGAACAGAGGTCCTAAAGAACCAAGTACAAAGAGAACAGAAATTTGAGTGCAAATGCTGCTAGTGTACTGCTGGTGCTGGCGGCGCGGTGCGCCAGCGTTTTGTCATAGCTTAGCGTCAGAGTGAAGTTTGTTGATATTGCCATGGAAACCCAACACGCCGACGCGCGCAGGCACTGCAGCGCTCTGCCGTGAAACAACACCCTAGTTACCACAGCTGATAGGTTGATGAGCTAGTAAGGCTGTCATGGAAAATAGGTTCTTAGCTGGTTGATTGAATTTTGGATATTGAATTAGTTCAGAGCTAAGCATTATTAATTTGCTTTGAGATTCTAGGACAAGCCTTTGTTCAGCCATCTTCAACCAGAATAATTAAAATAAACATAACCTAGGCTAACCTGAACTGACCTGGCTTTACCTAACCTTACCTTACACATCCTATCCCTAGTTAGTTAGGCTTTATAGCCAATGTGGAAGTTTTACAAGAGAAGTTAATTGATGAATATTTGTGCTGACAGATCAAGATATTGTCTGGCATTGTATTACCAATGAGATAATGGCATATGTTCCATTTCTATGTTCCATCTGCATTTATACCTTTATTTGGTGCCATAACAATAAAGGAGTGCTTATTGTGGTATAATGTCATCTGCATTCCTCTTTCCCAATCTGAAATAAGCCCATGGTTACACCTATCTATGGTGTTCACCAGTTAGGCTGTTAGGCTTTCTATCTCACTGAGTGGACACTCAGAATAGGTACTTACCAGGTTCAAGTAGCCAGGTTCAGGATTGACTAAGCACAAGTCCCAGTTTAGCTATGAAACATGATTATTTAAAGTCAATAATCACTGACTTCTATGAGCTGAAGTTGTCTGATTCAAACTCTAGCCTCTAGTTGCCTCAGCTTTAATTCAATAAATTTGCCATTGACAAGCAGATAGTGCAAGCACAATAAGTTAAACAATATAGATGTAGTTTATGGGGATTGGGAATATGCATTGCCCAATTTGACATTTTTGTTTTTTACTTAAACACACACCTACTTTAATGAAAGTGTCACTGTAATTTTGACTCTTGTAACACCTGTTTTCAGGCCTGTAGTTGGTATTCCAGTCTGTTTGAGAGGCCCATCTTCTACAGGCACCAGTTGACCTCACCACTGCCCTCTGTTCTCTCAATTCCAGCTGAGTTAATCTCACCACCTCCCAAGCTGCCACCTAATGAGGAAGCGTGTGGGTGAGGACGGTATGGCGGGGGCGCCGTCCGACGCTGGGCACGACAAGTCGGACTCTCACGGCGGCGGCGGTCTGCGCGGTGACGTGGCCAACATCTGCCTGCTGCTGCTGCTGTACGTGCTGCAGGGCATCCCGCTGGGCCTGGCCGCCGCCATCCCCATGATGCTGCAGAACCGCGGCGTCACTTACTCGCAGCAGGCAGAGTTCAGTTTCGCCTTCTGGCCGTTCAGCCTCAAACTGCTGTGGGCGCCCATCGTGGACGCCTGCTATGTGTCCCGGTTCGGGCGCAGGAAGTCGTGGCTGGT